TTAGTTAAGATTGAATTTACGTGACTGAAACCGGCTTCAACCATATAGGAACTTGGAAATGCTATCATAAATGGCTAAGCTATTTCGTTAAGTTTTACATATTTTTGCATTATATTTATATTTGTTCAAAATTTGCTTATTGTTAAATTTTTAAAAAGCGTCTTTGCTTCAAATCCCCATAATAATTCAGCAAGCTCATCTTGCAGGTTGATGTCCACGTTTTCAATTTGAGCAGAAAATGGCACAATAATCCAATCAGGGATGTCAATGTTTTCCAAATCAACAAAACGCAGTTTAAAATCGTCGCTCAATTTTTGAAGATTACCTGTATATATTTCCAAGTCTTCTTCTTTTATTTCTAATTGTCACATATCTGAAAAATACTGATAATCCTTCGACCAATCGATCCTTCAGGTTCGGATCGACCCCCATTCAACCCCCTGGCTCATATCGACCCCCGCTTATGTTAAATAGACCCCTGGGGGTCTATATAGACCACTTTCTGACCTCTGTTCTAGATCAATCTTTGGATCGAACTTGCTCTTGCTGTTGTCTTTATAAGTTAAAGTTACTCATTCTTGTAATACATGGAAAGAAATACCACTAAAAACTTCTGTGATTAACCTGATGGTTATGGAATTCTCATCCTTGATCCATCGACCACTGGGGATCTAGTGTGTGTACACACAGTAGTGCAGTTGTTACATGAAGGTACAGTATATGAGTTGATTAGCTAGCATATCACTTTTTACAAAAGCAAAAAAAAAAAAAACTATGTATTTGTGATATTACTCTGTCTATGAGGATGATTGCAAATTGCTCATTTATTGGAGACCAAAGGTTATTTAATAAAAAATAATGAACTTGATGGGCATTGATAAAGACTCTATATTTTTAATGATGAGTGCTATTTGTATGAAGAATACTCAAAGAAACCTTAAACAAGCAACTTATAAAACTAATCATAAGCAATAAATGGTACTAAAATATCATGTAATAAGAAAAAGTAAATAAGTATTAACAATTAAAATATACGTGACATGCATATTTGTACCAGAATTATTAGATTTTAGGCAGACCAAAAAAAAGTTTTTCAGTTTTTAAAAATTTTTTCTTATAAACCACTTAGGGGGTACACAATGAAAGGGCAATTAGGGGGTACACAATGAAAAAAAAAAAAAAACTCGCTAAAATTAATTAAAGATGGCTTGTATTGAAACTAATATTTTTCAAAAACTCTAATAATATAAAAATAATATAATGTTATTTAATTGCTACATTGGCATGATTGTGTTAAGAACAATGTGGAGCTACAATTGTTTAAACAAAATATATTAATTATTTTTAATAAATTATGAACAGTTTTATACTGTGCAAGATAACACAATTTAAAAAAAATAATTATCCTGAAGCAATTTAAAGCACTAGATTGAAATAGGTTAGGTGCAGTTCAGACAAAAATGTCTGGTTTTGAAATAAATATTAAGCAGAAATTACATTATTAATTAACAATATTTTATCTATTAATGGAATAAATGCCTTTAACATCAAGTAAAAATGAAATTTCAACTTCGAGAAAAAGTCAAAATAGAAGCAAGAAAAATATCCTTAATATATATATATATAATACAAAAATAATACTAAAAATAATACTTTTGTATTAATAAAAGAATTAAAACTCTTTCGGTTTCATAAAATGTCTTTGCTAAAGAGTAAGCGTAGAGATATTCTATTTTGGGAATTCAAGGCTGAAAACATAACATTGAATAATAATTAGATTTATATTTCAAAGGAGGAGTTATTTTTAGAATCTTGTCCCTCTTTCACTTCCATATTAGGAAGCATTATTTATGATTTTCCTTAATGCGTAGAGTTACAAAGGCATGTGCAACTGGAACCTAATTACACCAATCTCTGTACTATTTAATGCGGGGCAAAAGATCTCTTGCTGAATAACGTGTTCCGATAAACATCTGCCAGAACCATCCGGAGTCTTGTCCACACCCCCTCCTTTGAGGAGTGTGGATGTGAACTGTTATAACCACCAGCATAACGTTAAATAAAGCTTTTTATGTCATATGATGGCTTTGATTGCATTTCTTAAGATGAATACACCAATGATAACAGGGATGTAGCCCTGTTATTATNTGTAAAAATTTAAACTGGTGTAAATGCAAATTAAATTATATTTTTCATGTTATAAAAAAATATACCTGTCTTTGCTTTATAAAAAATAATTCAACATAGCCATAAATTTTGTTTCAAACTGTGAACTTAAAATAAGGAACATTCAATAATTCAAACTTAAGTGATATACAAGTTCTACTTTATGATTCTGCCACCTGGTGACAAATCCTGTGGTTACCGAAGAGGTGTTAAGGAAGGTAATAATTTACCTACTAATATCATTAGATCTGCACATTTGATGTCAGCAATCAACAGATTTTTACAAGTCATTGCCAGAATTTAAACTGGGTCACCACAATTGGTTTTAAGAGTTCCATCTTTTAATTTATCATGTCTCTTTATAATGGAATTATCATTACTAAAATAATATTTCTGTCGGTCTAGTTTTAAAATACTTGTTGCAGGTCTAATTTTTTTTCCAGCTATAACTCTAATTGAAGTTATTTCAATTGCTAATTTGAGATTATTGCATTTTCAGGCTATTAATAAAGAAAATGGAAATTTTGCTGCTGCTAAAATTTGTGAGTTAAAAGGAGAAGATGATCTGGATGATTTTACTGTGGAGATTGATATTTTGACAGAATGCCGACATCCAAATATTGTTGGCTTAGAAGAAGCTTTCTTTTTTGACAGTAAATTATGGGTATGTGATTTTGATGTGTTAATTATTTTTTACTCTAGCCTTGTTACAAGTATATTTATGTCTGCAAATAAACATAGTTGAAAATTAAATTTTATAATCCAAAACTTGATTTCTCAACTTTTGCAGTGGAATTACGATTACTAAAATAAAAATTTCATTATTTTTTTCACTCATGTAAATTAAAATATTTATAATTTATTGTTAAATTAAGTAATTAGACTAAGGTTTTAATAGTTAAAATAACAATGGATTATCTAAATTTTTTCTAGTGTAGCATGGATGATTGAAAAATGGAATTCTTCTTGAAAGGAGTACATTTGCAGTTGTACAAAGCAGATTTTTTTTCTAAAATTTAACTGTTCATTTAGCTTTGATATTGCAAGACTCATCAGAAACAAAGGTTCATTTAAGAAAAAGCAAAATGTAGTGCAGATATTGCAAAAACGAGCATAATTTTTTTTATTAGTTGCTTCAAAAAGCTGAATGGAGAAATATATTGTAGATATTCTGTTTCGAAAGGTTTTTCAAATTCAAAGAGGTGAATGAATTCTTTGTTTGTTGCTGCTTGGAAGTAATCGTAATGAAGTAACATCGTCTAGTTTTCTGATATCTATGGCGCTTTTCTTTTTATTTAGAATATTATTTATTCAATAAAGTTTTATTTATTTACTTTACTTAAAATTTTTCATCATACACTCTGTATGACATGTAAAAAGAAAATTCTAGCTGCTTGGAAAATAAAGCTTAATGTTTAAAAACAATTTTGTATTTTTTTTTTAATTTAAATTTTTTATTACCTTTACAGTTTTACATTTTTACAGGGTTGGCCTTTTTCATTGCAAATGTATTTTTTTTATGGGAAAATCGTCATAAACTGATTTAAACAATCAAAAACTGAGGTTGAGTTCAGGCATGAAAAATTTGTTTTGAAAAGGAAAATATATGCAGTTTTATTGCAAAAAATCTCAATTGCATTAAACTGAGTAGGTTAACAGTAATAATTACTTTTATATAAAATATAAATTTAGGATATTTATGAGATTGCAAAAATGGAACCTAAGAATTTTGACTGTAGATATTTTCCATGAGAGTTTAATCTGTGTTTTGCACCATAAAAAACTTGCCAAACCTGTTGCTGCTCGTGCATTCTAAAACAACTTTCATTCTATGCACTAGAATTTACAATTTCAATAAAGATTAAAATGATTTTATGCACTGTATATTTTTAATATTTGATGAACAGATGCAGCAATTTTTGTACTAATGAGTTTTTTGTATTTATAGATGCTGATTGAATTATGTGAGGCTGGAGCAGTGGATAGCATTATGCTAGATTTAGAAAAACCATTGACTGAGCCTCAAATAAGATATTTATGTCATGAAATGTGTAAGGGTCTTGATTTCCTTCATAGCAAGAAAGTCATTCACAGAGACCTTAAAGCTGGAAATGTGTTGCTTACATTAGACGCTGGCGTTAAATTAGGTATTTTTTTTTTTTTAAATGTCTATCAGAATATGCATTTTTATCATTGAGTTAGCCTTTATTTTTTGTTGTTTTCATGTCTATAGTATATACTTTTGCGTTATTAAGTTTTAGTGAGTGCAAGTATTTTTGTTTGCAGATGAAAGGGTTAATTCAATATATACACTCTATAACAAAAAAAAATTGATGCACCAAGAAGGAGTTGTCTGATTGAAATGAAAATTGGTGGATAGGAAGACAATGTACAGAATAGAAAATGATTAAAATTTCAGAACAATTGAATAATTTATTACAGAGTTACAGTAATAAGTTCAATAAGGTGTTGACCCTCTTCTAGCCTGGATACAAGCTGCCACGCGGCGTGACCTAGACCGATAAAGCTCCCGTATGGTCTCTTGCGATATTTCCTGCCAAATTCGATCCAATTGTCGAACGAGGTCATCAACATTCCATACCAGATGCAATCACCTTACCATCATGTCCCAGACATGCTCGATGGGAGAGAGATCTGGTGATTTGGCAGGTCAAGGAAGAGTTTGACAAGCTTGCAGACAGTTCATAGCAACATGTGCCGTATGTGGTCTGGCATTGTCCTGCTGAAAAACCAGCCCAGGGCGCTGCAAAAGGAACGGTAGCAAAACAGGTCTTAGGATGTCGTCGTCGTATCGCTGTGCAGTAAGTGTACCTCTAATGACGACCAAAGGGGTCCGGCTGTCAAAAGAAATGGCACCCCAGACCATAATGCCTTGTTGAGGGCCGGTGTGGCATGCAATAGTGAAGGCAGGATCCCCCCTCTGCCCTGTGCGTCTCCAAACACATCTTTGATGATCGTCAGGGCCCAGTTGGAAGCAGGATTCGTCGCTAAAGACTATACGTCCCCAGTCGGCATCATTCCAGCCTGATCGAGCGTTGATTTTGCTCGTCTTAGTGCGTTCTTGGTGCGTCAATTTTTTTGTTATGGAGTGTATAATAAAGGAGCTAAAATTTTTTTATTAATGAGTAAAGTGGAATTAACCAGTCTAGTGACTTGCATCTTTTTCAAACTCGCTCTATTATAAATATTTATGTGTATTTTTCACACCCACTATTTTTATGTTTTCTTCAAAGCATGCTTAATTTACCAAAAAATAAATTTTAAAATATGCTGAAAAACTAAATTTTTTTTTCTTCAAATTATGCTGAAAAATTAAATATTTTTTTTCAAAATATGCTGAACTAATTTTCAATATGGTGGGTCACAAAGAAATTATGTTAATTTTGGTGATGTAAATACAGTGCAAAGTCCCATATCTGGATGCTCCTTTTCCTGAACCGTCTATTCTCCAGATGAACATTTGAATATCTATAATTTCAATGTCTTAAACATTTGAATGTCTATAATTTGTGTTTTAAACACATTTAATTTGATTTTTAGATGCATTAAATAAATTAGAAGTACTTTAGCATTTAAAATACTATCAAAGCAATTTATTGTAAAACTTGTCAATAATTTTTGAAATACTTTCAAAACAATTTACTATACTTTTAAATACTTTTAAAAAAGTAATATCTCTTAAGTATGGAATTTTTTTAACAATTGAAAGTACATTTTAAGTTTACATTTCAACTTATTAAGTTATTTTTACATTGTAAATATTTATTCATTTTTTTTAGCTGATTTTGGTGTATCTGCAAAAAATAAGGACACTATGCAGAAGCGGGACTCTTTTATTGGAACTCCTTACTGGTATTTAAATCGTTCTATTCTAGAACATAGAACAAATCACATTTTGCTTTAAAAACATTATTTTCCAATGTTATCTTAAAGTGTATATTAAGCAAAATAATCATTGTGGTAGTATAAAGTAAAACTGCATTTATAGTAGTTAACAACGAAGCTTTACAAATGTTTAATTTTTGTCTTGCTAAAGTTTTTTTTATGCAAATGAACATTTCTTTTCTTTATGAATATTCAAAACTTTTTTGCCTTTATATAATAATTGAAAAAGCCTTTAAAACTTGGTTTTATAGTGCTGTTTAATTTGTTTTCTCAAATTGCTTGAAATAGGAACGTGTTACTTTGTTTTGTTTGTGTTTTTTAAGTCAGTATATGTAGGATAAAAATATGGTGGCAATACTACATTATTTAAACGTTAACACTGATAATGCCTTTATGATCTTAGATTTTGAAAATAGATTTGTGAAGTATTAAATAGATGTATATTTACATTGGTAATTATTTTGTTATTGTCCATTTTAAACTTATACCAAAATTATCTTTTTTCCATAGTTTGATTTAATATTTAAATAAAAGGTATTTTTTTCAATTCTTTGTCTTAATTTTTTTTAAAACATTGAAAATTTAGAATTTTTTATTTATTTAAATCAGATTTTGAGGATAAGATTTCATTAATTTTAATTTTCATGTTAATTTAGGATTGCTCATGCTTGCTTTGAAAAAGGAGTTTAATTTACAGTTCCTTTCCCTCCAAAGGTTTGATTTCCTGACCCCTTAAACTGTTCACAATTCTTGAGCGTTGGCTAAATATAATGAGTTCAAATTAAGAGTCCAGTATAGATGTACTTAAAGTTTTTTTTAATATTAATTGTTATTAAAATTTCGTATTATCAAAATGCTATGCCTTACAGTTAATAACATTAAAATATCAAGATCACAAGATATACAATGTTGGTTGCTAAAGAAGCTAATGCTTATGTTATAATGTTCTTGTGTGTCTAAACTGTTTAACTAAAAAAAAAATGTATAATTTTTTTTGAGATTTTTAATGTTTTTGTATAAGTTCAAAACACAATATTTTTCTATTAAAAATTAAGAATACGTTTGTTGATTTATTAGACTTACAGCACTGTTTGGCAAAAGATAAGTAAAATTTGATTAGTGTTATTTAGGTTGCACTTTAAATTAGAAAAATCTTTATACTATGGATAATCTAGCTATAATTTAAATTTTTTGGTCTGCAGAAATTCCTGTGTGTTTAAAATGTATAAATTGTTTTTTTCTTTCCCACTTAGGAAAATTTATAAATTGTTTTTCTTTTTCCCACTTAGGATGGCACCAGAAGTGGTTATGTGTGAAACTTTTAGGGATAACTTATATGATTCTAAAGCTGACATATGGAGCTTGGGTGTCACTTTAATAGAATTTGCTCAAATGGAACCTCCAAATCACGAACTCAGCCCTATGCGTGTGTTGTTAAAAATACATAAATCTGAACCTCCTACCTTAGATCAACCCTCAAAGTGGTAAGTTTTCTCCCAAAAAAACCTTAGTGTAAAGTATATGTTGTGTTAGTTCAGCGAATTTTAGGAAATCAGCTATGGAATGTTAGAGATGCCAACTTGCTCCGGATAGCGAATAAATATTTTAGAGTGGTAGTATTTTATTGTATGATTCTTGGTTTAATTAAATTTGATTTATTAGGATTTTATCCACCGCTATTTCTAAATAATTTGAAGGCTTACATAATTTGCTACTTAATGTAATTTAGTTATGTTAAACCTTTTTAAAAGTAATCTAATTTAACCAATTATTGGCAAAATTTAGTTTGTAGTTAGTTACCATTTTTTAAATTATTTTGTCGTGTCTGGAGCAGTTGGCATCTCTGGAATGTATAGAAATATCCAGAAACTATTTGCTAGACAAATTAACTTTTTGTCCTCTAAGATCTTTCACTCAGGTGTCTTAAAATTGATTAACAGTTTTAAAACTAACTAAATAAAAATAGAAGGTAATAAAAATGTGCCGTTTGATGCATTCTCCGTAAAAAAATATTAATTATTCTCTTCTTTAACTAACTCTAACTTTGTTACAAAGATTGCTAAGAGGCAGGGCTGATTGTGCTCCGGAAAAAATCCGAATTTCCGGAATTTTCCGGAGATCGAAGGTCCAGGCGTTTCAAAAAATCAATGATCAGACAGAGGTTTCCGGAAATCAAACTTTCGAAGGTGGAACTTAAAAACACAGTTTATTTTATTTGTTTGTAAGGGAGAGCCAGAGAAGTACTTTATAAGCTTATATTCATGATTAATATTAATTTTTTATCAGTAAATAGTTGTCAAGAAAGAAAGACATATTTGTAAATTTTAATTACTTCTCCAGGCCATCATAGGTGTGTGTAAATGGTATAGGTATGTGTGAAATTTTAAATATATTTTAAGTAAACTAAGAAATATTGAAAAAAAGGAAGAAAAAAAAACCTTGTTTAAATTTTTTTCTGATTTTTGAATTTAAACTTTTTTTTTTTAAAAAAAAACTCAAGAAATTTTCCGGAATTTTGACTTGGGCTCACAATCACCCCTGAAGAGGGGACATTGCTTATAAAAAAGAAATTAGGGAACTAATTTTTCTGAAATAATTAACTACTTTGTTGCAGTCAACGGACAGAATTGACATATATTTCTGTTAGATGTATCTCACATGCAGCAGAAAGTAGTGTTTTTCCCCCAGTTAGTAGCATATTTTTATGAACTTTGTGACTACTTTCTGAGCTTGATGCGATGGAATTTACTTATTTTTTAAGCTGAATACTGCAAACTATACTTTTCTGTTTTTCTTTAACCTATTAATTAATTAATCTTAACTATTAATTAATTATTTTATTAATTAATTTTCTTTAACCTATTAACCTTTAATTAAAGAAAAAAGAGAAAAAAATAACACCTTATTTATCTATGTATGTTATTTTTCATTCTCTATATTTATTTCTTATCTGAATAAATGCTTTTGAAGGTCATCAGAATTTAAGGAATTTTTGAGAAAATGTTTAGTCAAAGATCCTTTATCTCGATTGACTGCTGCTGAATTGCTTAGGGTAAGGTTGGCCTTTTATTTCTTATATATTTAAAAAAAATGATTATTACTAAAGTGGTTATTTACTTATTTTAAGAATTTAATGTGTTTAATTTATGTTTTTGTTATTTATAGCACCCATTTATATCTAATGCAACAGAAAGGAGACCACTTTTGGAACTTATTATTGAATATAAAGCAGAGGTTTTTGAAGAATTAATGGAAGATCCGGATGATGAATCTGTTTGTATTCTGTTTTCTTTCCTTTTTATTATTAAGCCATTGTTTTATAATTATGCTCATATTATTTTTTTTTTACATTTATCCCTGGTTTTTAGAAAATTTATCTTGTTGAATTTCAAAAGAAACTGCTGAAAATTTTTTGCATATTAACTTATAAAAGTTACTTTTACTTAAAAAAGTTAGTGTATGGGAGGCAAACCTCTGTAAATAGAATGCCCCTTTAAAAAAAAAAAAAATTGTGTGTTACCTTTTTTTCAACTTTTGAAAGAATAAAAAATGTTATTTAAAAATTTATTATAGGATTTTTATGCAAATGGCAAATTATTTCTATTTAAGTTTGGATAGTGACAAATATAAAAACTAACGTAAAAATACAACAAAAAGAAAAAAAAACTCTAGTTTTATTGTTAAAAAAGCATTTTTAAAGGTTCAATCAGGCAGGTTTTGCATACAATAAAAATGAAAAACTTTAATTATGGCTTTTGAACTTGTAAATTTTTATTATCATAGTCATCTATATTGGGATTGGCATGCTAACATAATTAGATGTTTATGGTGCATATCAGTTTTTCTTGAACAATATTTTGAATTACTTATGCTTATTTTCAAAAATATTTATCCAGAAATATAAGTTGATATAATATCAATACCTGAAAGTCAAATCATGTAAATTTGGAAAAATGCTTGCATATTTTCGAAATTAATATAATTTAGATTGCTTGCTGTTTGAGCAAGTGCCTTATTGTGTTTAGTATTGTATGGTTGCCTAGGACAATTGATTTCATTTAGTTTTCTGGCATTGTTATTTTTCACATTTTATAATTTTTTTAAAATATTTTGATAAGTTTTTATGTACTACTGTCAGAATTCAGTTGTGGCAAGTCTTCCATGAATTGGTTAACTTTTGTGTTAGTTTGTTTTGATGATATAGCATGCATATGTATGCATACATACATCTGTCTATCTATCTATATATATTGAACTTACTTTAATTAAAAAAATAACTTATTCAAACTATTTTGTTAGGAATCATCTGTTGTATCAGCATTATGTAGAACCTCTCAAATTAGCATGGAAAGTGAGATAGGATTAGATACCATTTCAAATTACAGTGGGAATACAGATATATCTACTACAGAAATGAAAAGTGAAATTTCAGGTAAACCTTGAACTGTATTTGATTTAAGTTTCGAAATTGTAAAGTAGCTTAATTAGTTAACTTAAATTAACTATGTAAAGTAGTTATTTTTTGATGTACAATTATAGTGAAATCTTGTGGCACTGCATATCAAATGTTATTTTCTTTTCATTTTATTCTTATACTATACATAAATAATATCAGCTATGTACAAAATATATTACTAAATGAGCAATTTTTTATTGTGAATTAATAAAAATGAACTAATTATTAAAAACATGCGTTGAATATAAAGAAAGCAGTGTATTCTTTTTTTTTTTCCTAAATAAATGCAATCATTTTTCTTTTCTTTTTGTGGCTAAATTTTAATTTTCAAATCTATGCACATTTTTGCTATTTTCTGACTTGACTTGGGCAGTTTTCTTAAAACGTTTTTTTGTCTTCAGAAGGCATGAAAAGTTTTACTACATTTCTAATATTCTTACTTAATTCTTACTAATAATAAACTTAATTGTTACTAATATTAAACTTACTGCTTAACTGATATAATTTATTGTTTGTACAGTGTGAATTATTTCTTCAGAAACCTCATACTAATGGTTTAAATATCAAAATAATTTAGAAAAATAACTATTACTCTATAAATAAATTTCAATTTGATACTTATATAGAAATATGATAATTTAGGTAATTTACAAATCTTAATCAGTTGACTATAATTTATTGTAATTTTAACTATTTCTAACCGAACTTTTTTAGAAATATGATAATTTAGGTAATTTACAAATCTTAGTCAGTTGACTATAATTTATTGTAATTTTAACTATTTCTAACCGATCTATGCCATTCTTTGACTTGAAACTTCCATAACCATTTAGAGCTCTAAAACACTCAAGAAGATATTGTCTTTCTTTCAGTTTCTATTATTCAGTTTTTTTGTATTGTCTATTATTCAGTTTCTTCGGAAAAAAAGTGAGGGTTTCTTTAATTTTACCATAAGGATTGAGAAAATATTTCTTTAATTTTAAGTTATTTTAAACATAATACTCTGAACTATATCTTAAAAATTGAAATAAATGTTTTAAAAGTGAAAATGAGTTTATAAAAAACCTAAAAGCAGTAAATTTTAAGAACAGAGAAAAATCTATCAAAAGTTTAATGTATAGTAAGCAAAAAAAAAGAAAAGAGAGATCACTTAGAAGAATTCTTGCTTTTATGACCGAATTTTTTTACTCACTAAATGTCAATCTTAATAGCTTTAAGGATTTACCACAAATATGTTAATAAATGAGTGGTAACTATTGATTAAGTTGCAAAGCTAGTTCCAAAAATGCACTATTTCTAAATAAACATGCTTTTTTTTGTAGAATTTGGGAATTTTGATCACCAAAATATGGGGATAACTGCTGTTTAGAGTATATAGTCTTAATATTTTAGCAGAATAATGGTCTAAAGTTTGGGCCTCATGACTTTTTTTTTTCTTGATGGAGAGTATTTCTCTATGTTTCAACAGCTTTTAATAGTTTCAGTAGTAAAATATGCAAATTTTTGGTTCATTTTAACTTATCTAATTTTAAATAACAAATACTAAGTTAGTAAGTATGACTTTGTTAAATCGTTCTTGGAAAATCATGCAAATTTTTTGTTTAAAAATGAGTTAGTTGAAAATTATATAAAAAATGTGTCTTTCTTAGAATTTAATTTTTTTCTAACTATCATTAAATAAAATTTTTGAATAAAATTTATTAAATAAAATTTATTATTATAAAATAATAATAAATAATTGATAAAAAGTAATTTTGTGCATGAAATTATCTTCGAATTTTCAGATTGATGCTACCCCATCCCCATTTTTTTTGACAATCATGAATCAAAATATGTTAAATAAAAGGTATATTCGTTCAGAAAAAGCATATTTTTGTATCTTAATTAATAGTAGACATCACTTAATTAGCATATTTAAGGTTATATCTTTGAACTATTTACATTGGCTCTTGGATATAAAAATCCAATCATTAAAACAAAAGTTATTCATTATAATATCTTTCTTTTTTCTCTTTTTGATTCACTGAACAATTATGCTACTTACGAAAAATTTAACTGTTAGAGAACCTTCAGAATATCTTTATTGCTCATAAATAATTTAAAAATTTTTTCTGGGAAATAAATAATGTTTGAAAAAAATAGTACTTACTGCTTTTTTTAATTCCATTCTTCACTAAATATTTAACTTTGAATCTAGAATTAAAGATTAATTGAAAAGTTATGAACACATTTATTCTTATATTGCAGAGAAAATCATTGTGGAGCAAAAAGATGCAGCAATAGAGTCAGCTGGAAGTGAAGAGTCATTAGCATTTGAAGATAATGAGAAGACTATTTTGGAAGATGATATTACAGGTGCTCCTGGTATGCTATTCAGTTTGGATTATATGAAGATTATTTATATACACAAAAGCTGTTACACGTACTTTTTAATAAAAATTAGCTGTGTGTGAACTTAACTAGTGTACTGCATTTAAAATAACAGTGCTGTTCAATTTTTAAACAATAAAATTTTTAACAAACTTAATGCTCGGGAAATATAAAATGTAAAATTTTTGGCAATGGCGTTTCTAAAAAATATTTTTTTGCTAGTTAGTTTATTATTATGCATTTAAATAGCAAGGGATTTTCAAAATTTGCAATATTTTATATTGATGTGATTGTCTAATCTAATGACCTTAACTGATTTGTTTTGTGATGATGTGATTTGCTATTTTGAACTGAGACCTACTATGATTGCTGTTCATGATGACTTGCCATGATTTTTTTGTATTTTAAATTCGAAGCTGTTATTTTTTATGATTTTATGTATCAGTGATTACAATTGTGAATTTACAACAATCATTAACCATAACCAAACAGACAAAACCAAAACAATATCGTCTGCACATGACATTATAATTATATGGATAGAAAGTCGATGCTGTTATGAGTTTAGTTGTATAATGCTTATACATGTGAGAAAATATAAGAATACCACGACAGCCGAGGCAACACACATCGATCATATACATCAATCTTATAGATACACATTAGGATATGACATCTTTCTAATGTCTTGATTCCTGTGAGCCTGGAATTCAGCTGAAAAAGCTTAGAACTCAATTGTATTTCCAACAACTTCATTACCATGCAGAAAGGGTATATTTAATATAATTTGCACTGAATTAAAATCCAAGGATATTTTTATTACAGAAAATCATTGCACAGAATTGGCTCCAAGCATAAACGAAAGCGAAAAAACTATCAAAGTTTTCTGTTATAATAATGAAAAAAACCGGATTGACCTCTCCTTTCCCAGGCCTTTCGTCAAAAATTGATAAGGAACGAGGATTTTTGCTGTTATATATATGGCAAAACTGAATTCTTCAGATTCGTGTTTATTCTCTGCAAATCCATTTATCCCGGTTTAAATTAAAGTGGCTTTTGATTTTTATTTGTGGCGCTTACAACTCGCTACAACTTTACACATTTTTCAAATTGTATTATTAGCTGTTCATGTAAAGCAGGACTTGCATGCTCCAAAATAAGAAATTTGGTGCTTTGAAATTGCTCCAAAGCTGGCTTTGAGCATTTGAAACCCTGTAAATAGGAAGATATGTATGATTAATCGTATAGATTCAAGAAAAAATCTATGTGAATATGGTTTGAAGTATTAATGGTTGGTGCTAGTGATAGTTTAAAAGTTTTGTTGTTTAGTTTTTTTTACAGCCTTTGTTTTAGTTGAATTATTAAGTAAATATGCAAAGTACTGCTCAGTTAAAACAATATTTTTTTTTTACGAAAAAAGTTACACTGTTTTAGACCGTCTTTCGATATTATTTTGAAATAATGCATTAACCATTGTATGTCATAAAAAGTTACTGGTAGAAGTCATTGATTTAAAAACGAGATTTAGCAGATACTGACATAATATTGTAATTTGACAGCTATTGTGTGTATTTAAGCTATATATGTGTGTTTCAATTGTTTTTACTTGAAATCCTCAATTTTACTAAAATTTGATGTTTCCTAATTTTAACATTACTTGAATTTACGCCTGAAATTTGTGAGATATGCTTTTTTGATTATCTCAAATGAAACAAAAACACTTTTTTTGTTTTTTATATTTCCAGAAGACATTGAAGTGCCTCAAGAAATTACTTTAACTGAAGAGAGTAACTGCTTTCTTGCTCCAAATGATAGCAAACAAGGTATTAAAGACTTATATATCACTCATTTGGAGAAATATGCTTCCAATCAATAATTAAAAGATACCCATGGGAAATATTTTTAATGATTGAAAACTGAACCACTTAGGCAACTTTTGGGGATTATGACTTAGTTTGGGAAGGGGGTTATGTTTAATACTATTAGATAGCTTTTTTGAAATATCAAACGTATCTATTTTTATATTTTTTCTTCAAATTTTTATATATTTCTCAATATTTCTCTGTTATTAAGCAATTTACTCCATTTTGGGATTTCATCAGCATCTGTGAACCAAAATGCTAAAAACTGTAGGTCAAATTAAAGTACTTATTCTTGTATTCATCCAAATCAATCCTGCCTCGCTTCCAAAGAGTATTTTGAACGCTATGTTTGGATTCAGTGAAGGCATTTATTGAAATTATCTCCTACATATGTTTTTAGATTAGAGATCCAATACATTTTTCACCTGATACTTGACCATTTCTATACTCTTTGGTCATCTTGTATAACTAAGGGCTACTGCACATGATGTATAAATATCCTACTTTTTGTACTTTGGAAATTTAATTTAAAAATTAAATCTCCATTGACATTATTGAAATAGAAACAGGTTGATATGGTGTTCAAATATTCTTAAGACAATGTGACATGAATGAGAAGACTAGAACAAGTTTTGATAAGAGAAAGCACAATTTTCAATAATCAAATAAATAATTAAATAAATGTGTAAATAAACAGCGTAGAAATTAATATGGTCTTTAAAGATCACATTAGTGTTGATAATCACATTGGAAAAACCAGATGCATTCTAAAATTTCAATGAAAGGAACATGACAGATGTATCTAACTGTTCATTATTCTGTTGGAAACTTCGGCATAAACTTAACTTAGATAAAAAAAACCAAAATTCTTTCCATTCCTGACTTAAGTCATCTTGATGATAGTAAACCTTTTTTTATTTACATGAATGCCAATTCCCTATTAAATGTCCCCTTTTGCCCTGCACCTATATGTAAATGCAATCTGCCCTAATTTGGCCAACAAAGTTTCCTCCGCTATTAAAGTTTTTTTTCCTTCCCTCCTTTAGTTTCCCTTACAATTTTTTGTTGACAACTGCATATTTTCTTATTTCAAACATTTTCTGTATTTATCTTTGCCATTTTGAGAATCATATCTTGTTTGAGTGCTATAAATTTCTCTATCTTTTTTCCATTTAAATTATAAAGCTAATGAACTTTTAATTGTGATATATATCTTTTGCTTCAATTTTCTTGGGATTATTCATTTCAGATCCCATATTCTTATTAAAATAAATAAATAAATTTTCTTAGTTATAAAAGTTTCTGTTCTCTATTCTTTTTAAGTGTCTCCTACTACTTTTTATATTTTTCTATAGAGAACGACAATGTAAAACCCATTGAAGCAGAACCCAAACTCCCACAGCCAGAAGATAGCTTGATTGCTAAAGAGAATGTAGCTGATAATTTAGAAGATACATCAGTTTTTAAAGGTATGTTCACCTGAAGCTGTTAGTTTTCGAAGCAATTTAGCATCAGTCAGCTCTTTAGCTACCATTAACTATCTTTATGAATTTACTATGCTTTAAAGTAAATTAAATAAAATTAATTTTATTAGTAAAAAAGTTAAATTTTTTCAGTTTTAAAATGCATTAAATATTATTATTTCTGTAAATAAATTTAACGTTAAAAAACTGTAATGCTATGTTTCAGTCCTTATATTTTTTAAAATTTTGTTTTTCATTATGAAAAAAAGTTATGGTGTCTTGGTTTCTTTATAACTATAAATAATTGCATTTTTGTGCTGTGGCTGTAATTATATTTTGATAGTTGGAAAACAATAAAAGTTCAACGAAGACGACTGTAAAACAACAATCTCATTTTGGTTGTATGGTATCACCTTTATTTTCTTTTCAATTGATTTTTTATTTCTTGATGCAGTATGGCATAGATAATTGTGATATTTGTGTGAGTTGTTACACAAAAGATGGTGCGTGATTTCTTATCTTCATTGCTTTGCTTCAGTCAAGAAATTTTAGGGGTGTTAGAAGAATGTCTGTATTTTAAGTAGCAATCAGTTTGTGGAAAAAAAGATCAATAATTTTTGTTTGTGATTTTTTTTTTTTTACAATTCCTAAAAATATTAAAATTTTAAGTGGTTTTATTTGGCTTTTCAGTGGACATAAAAGAGTAGCAATATATTTTAATATCTCTTATGAAATGTGATTGCAATAATTCAATTTAATCTTTCTTTCTTTTTGTTTCAGTTCGAAATATTTTTAAACATTACAGATTTATTTTTTAGCATTGAGCTGTAAAATAAAAATCAATTCAAAATTTACTTTTTCATTTCTTTCATGAATTTGAGTCCAGCATTGCTAAGCCAATTTTTAAAACAAGAAAATTTTTTGATTTCTCGAGCAAGATCCTTCATTATTTTTCACAACATTAATTTTTTAAACTTTAGATTTCTGAAGAGTGAAATTGAATTTTTACCCTGCAAGTAAGGAATGTTATTTTTCATTTAATCAAAACTCATTTGCATAAAAATTTTGAATTGTCTTTTGAAAAAGTATCTTAGCAAACAAGGTAATTATTAAATAACCCTAGGTAAAAATCTGGCAACATCAGGGTTATTAAACTCTTCTCAGTTTCTAGGAAGAAAAATGTGATAAAATTTAGTCTAAACATTGCTAAGCATTCCCTTAATAGTTAATTGTCTTTAAAAAAGCTGATGTTAACTGGACCGTTTTGAGATTATTCAGATTATCTATGAGATATATATGTAATAGCGAGTTACTGTTTACTAATATTTCTCAGCATTTGTTAAAATATTTTTAAATAAAAATATTTGTTTACTAAAAATATATACATATTTTTATTTTAGAAAAGTTTCAAAGTGTGTCAGAAACGGTTGTATTAAATACTACTGTCGCTGATGAAAATTTATCTACCTCAGATGATAATTTGGCTACTGCTGATGATAATTTAGCCACTGCTGATGATAATTTAGCTACTGCTGATGATAATTTAGCTACTGCTGATGATAATTTAGCCATTGCTGATAATAATTTGACTACTGCTGATGATAATTTGGCTACTGCTGATGAAAATTTTGTGACTGCTGATGATAATTTGACTACTGCTGATGATTTGGCTACTGCTGATGATTTGGCTACTGCTGATGATTTGGCTACTGCTGATGATAATTTGACTAAGGTTGATGATAATTTAACTTTCAGTCTGAATGAATCTGATAAATGTATGTTAAAATTGACTGAATCTTCAAATGAGAATGTTACCCCTTATATTGAAGAGATAGATATAAAGGAACTAAAGAAGTTATCTTCTGACTCAAAAAGTGAATCAGATTTATCTATTCAGGACAAATTGTCTAGTAGACGTACAATGTCTGATGACAGTTTTGATATGGCTAGAAAGAATTCAGATGCATGCTTAGATCTAGCATCAGAATCTAAAACTGGGGGAACAAGTGTGAATTGTGATACATCCAAAACTCCAGATGGTTTATTAATTTCAATTAAACCTGGACATGATTTTAATTCATCCTACAGAAAATCTCTGAACAAATGGTGCTCTGTGGACAGTATCTATGAAAAAAATGATGAAGAACATTCATTTCATACTGGTTCTTTGCATGATTTAACGGATGAAAAATATAAACCTTTTTCAAAAGATGAAAATAAGTCATTAATTGTTCCACAAATGTTAGTTGATAAGGATAAGATTGAAGAAAATAATTCCTTAGAACAGCTTGGATTGGATACTAATACAATGATAGTGGAAGAATCTGCAACTACTAATTCTTTTAGTAATCTACAAAATGATATGGAAGATCCTGACATCAATAGCTGCCCGCCTAATTATGAAATGGCTTGTGAAGAACCTGTGATAGAGGAATCACCTAATAGAAATGAGTATGTATTTTTGAAAAATTTACTAGTTATGTAGTTAAAATTTTTTTAAACCTTGTTTTCTTTTTAAATTTTGCTGTGAAAATTGCTTCAATAAATGCTCCCTGCTACTCTAATGCATTTGAGGTACTCCAACTTGATTAAAGCAAGCATTTCTGATCAAAATCTACTCCCAATTCCTCTAGGTTGCATTCCAAATCTCGCAAAAATAAAAAATAAAAATTTCCCTTCAAATTTACCTGCTCTAAAAGAAGCATTTTTCACTTAAAAAAAGCTAGCAAATTATTACTACTTAAAAAATAAAATCATCTTTTTTTAAAACTTTTATTTTCCTTTCTTAGTTTGATTTATGCATAAAAATTATATCAATATCCTCTTTTGTGTAAAGTTATGTAATGTATTCTTATAAATTGGAGAAATTTTATTTCTGTATTTATAAATTTTTGTAAGTTTTCAATTTATTACATTACAACCAACCTTAAAAGTAAAAATTGTTAAGCTGAACATTGTACCTCTATTGTATCCATAGTAATATTCATAATAAATTTATCTTCTTGCTTTAAAACATAGTTTAGTATTGGTATATTTATATTCAAATGTCTGCATAAGTCTTAAAAATAAATTAGTTGTTCAGACCTGCTGACTGCTACCTGAAGGAAATGTGGTAAATTAATAAAATATAAAATTTTTAAGCGCACAGATAAACTTTTACTGCAAAAGAAAGTGGAATAATAAGCAAGCTTATGAAAAGAACTGAAAAGCTATACAATAGAACTATACAACTAACAGTTTAACTAGTTTGAGTTTCCTTTTTTAATTCATTTTATTTTTAAAAAAAGCATATAATTTACAAAATTAATTCAAGTAACTTGGATTAAAAATTGGGATAACTTGAAGACCAGATCTTGAAAAATTCAAAATAGCAATTTTCATTTCTTTATGAAAAAGAATTTCTTAACTTTAGCCAAGTGTTATTGTTTGCTCATTTAGAATCTTTTAAAAAATTTGATACAGCACATATGTAACACAGCTTTTTTAAAAAATACAATTATTTTTTTTGCACCTGGTTTTGTATCTAGGCTATTCATAGAAAAAGAAAAATATATTTTTATGGTAAATCCATAGTAGTTATAATTAAATTTACTCGTTTAGAGCAACATAAAGTTTTTTTTCTGTTGATAAATGTCTAAGATATTTGGCTGGCATATAAGTTTTATGGACCTTGTGAAAAAGAAATTTGCTATAAAAAATTTGTTTGAGTTTTCTCCTTCGCAACAAATTTGCTGATGCAAAAGTTTTTTAATTTGTTCTATGTGCATTCCCTTTTCATCAAGTAAGTGTTCAAAACAGTGGGTTCAATCTTGGCTAAAAAGCTGTCATAATCAATTGCAGCAATGTGACATGTTATGTTTGCTTTCTATTCAGTTATATTATAAACCACTTTGATTCTCCTCTTTGCATCACACTTGTAACTCATCAATCTCTTTGAATTTAACAAACATCTATTTTAGTTCTTTCTTTCTTCTATGATAACATGGTACTGAACACTCTTAAAACAGTAACTGTTAAGCTTTTTAAACTGCTTTGATGCCCTTTCTTGTACTCGAAAAGCGCCATCTATCGTCAAAATGTGTGTCATTTTATATTGTATTTTTCTTGGGTTCCATGTAACGTGTACACCAAGTTTCATCAACACCCTTTGACCAGAATGAGCTCTATGTTGATCTTAATAGGATTGCTTTATTTATAAAATCACCCTGTTCTTTTATTTTATAATTTTAAATGTAAACATCTTAATATGCAATTATTATTAATAATTATTGAAATTATTATTAAACAATTTTTTAAATGTATTAATTCCTCTTTAGATCACATGAAGATGAAGATACCCTTGATAGAGCTGTTTGTGTTTCTAATAATAACAATATCCTCTCCTTTGACACAAACTTATTTACAAAAGAGGAAAACACTGAACTACGTAATGAGAAAATTACTATTGAGCCTCAAGATAGTCCACCATCACATTCAACAAATGCTATTTGTGAAACTGTGGCAAATGTGAAGAGAAACAACACCCAACTTTCATTAAATCTGGAAGTTGCTGAGGAGACAAGCTTTATTTTAGAAGATAAAAATGTTCCTAGCTCGCCTTCAGATAGCTTAAAATCTGACTCTTTATCATCTGAGTGTACATCAAAACAAATTGAAAACTCCTCGCCTATTGAATCCGATTTTATTAACTGCAATAATATTTTGGATGTGAAACCTGAATCTTTGAAAGATATAAAGAGCCTTATGGAACCTGAGACCAAAACCTTTTCTAGGAAAGGTGATATGATCGCTTCTGATTTATCTGGTGAAAAGATTTCAGGTTCTGAGAAAGTGAACCTTAAAAAGGAGGTTTTGTCATCTATTAGTGAGACTCTACCATACTCAGTTCCGAAAACAGTTCCTCAGCGAAAGATGTCTGATGCCAATAAGGAATTGCCTGGGGATGATAATAATCAGCCCCAAATTGTTTGGAGAAGAAAGGTAAAATTTCAAGTAGTATTTATCTTCAGATTATATAATATTTTGTATCAATTTTGAAAATATGATGTCAAAATATTAATTGCTTTGAATACAATGTTAATTCAAAATACAATATTAATTACTTCGTCTCTAACAGAGATAATTTTTTATTAAGGATATGCTGAAATTTGTAGAAAACATAGCATTCTCATCGAAAATATTCTAGTGATTAAGTTCTGTTTAGATTGATCGTCAGAAATTCTAAAGATCTTTCTTCTTGATTTAAGATATTTATGCTGGATGTAGTAAATTTAACACCAAATTGACATAATTATTTTTAAAAAAATTAATAAAAATATTAATAAAAAAAAAATTGCAAAAGTAAAGCTTAATTTATGAGACAAATTTTTCTTGTCAATATTTGTTGCTTTTATTTTTTAGTGCTCTAGGATTTGCTTTAAACTCTAAAATTTTCTTTAAATAGCTGCAATTTTCAATAAATTTAACGTCTAAATCAAATAACATGGCTTTTATGCTGATTATGTTAATTTAATCATAGCTTTGTGTTAAATTTTTGTTTAATTTTCTTGAAAATATTTTCGCTACTTGTTTTCCTCTAACAAAATTAGCTGTAAGTGCTAAAATTTTACTTTAGTAGCTCTCATTTTACGTTAATAATTAAAGAGGGATAAATGACTACAGAGGAATAAATTATTCCCGAGATTTCTCAGCCAATTACTAATAAGTTGAAAGCAATGTTTGTTTAAATCTACAAAAAGTAATTTTCAGTTATTGTAGTATTTTTGCTAAATTGAATAAGTAGTTATTTCCACAAGTTTATTTGATAAACTAAGTGTGTCAATATTTAGTATTTTTGAGTCATCAATAATATTCTTGAAATACTTTGATTTTACTGGAGTAGTTGTTCTTTTGTGTAAAAGCCTATGTGAACTTAATTAAATTCAACCTAATGTTTTCAAAAACATATTTTGATTATACAGGAGTATTATAGTATTATTAATTTAGATGTTTTTCTTTTGTGTTTTGTCATAGTAATAATCATAAAATGTAAAATAGAGTGTATAAAATTTCTGTTGTTCAGGGGAAAAAAATAAAGAAGCGTAAGTATAAAATTTTTAATATATTGTTTTGCGTATAAATTTTTATTGGAAAAAAACTTTAAAATCTTAGATTATGTATGAAATAATGAATTAGAAAATTTACGTTATTATTGCTAAATAAAGAAAGGAAAAATAAATAAATTTTAGATATTTGTTATTCCTATAATCATGCATATATTTTTTAAATTTATATCTAATTGTGATATAAACTGAACTCAGTGGCGCGACAGCTCGCAGAGGTCCAAGGCCTACTGTGCCCATCTCAGTTTTCTTGACTCTGGGGTGCAGGTGCAGATGTTCCGGTCAGGTGGTCAGCCAAACGCAAAACCCCCAGTGTTTAGTTCCCAAGCATGCTTGGTACTCATTTATTGACCCACTGAAGGGATGAAAGGCCGAGTCAACCCTGCCCGGCCCATGGATCGAACCCAGGACCTGTGGCACAGGAGTGCGAAGCGCTAATACTCAGCCACCGGGCATCAATTATGACATAAGGATTGACATATTTATACTTCTTTATGTTTGATATAAAAAAATAGATTAATATCAAGTTACTAAAACAGTAATGAATATAGTAGAGCCTTGATTATACAATAATAACCTATACGTCTTTTCTGTGTGTTTGATCTTTATTATGACCCATGTATTTAGGAGAAATTCAATGTGTTAGAAGATTATATCGCAAAAATTATATTTCTCAATTGTTATTATACGAGAATAAATCAATGCTTAGAAGATTATCTCCTAAATAGCCATGTATTTAGGAGAGATTCAATGTGTTAGAAGATTATATCTCAAAAATTATATTTCTCAACTGTTTTTATACGAGAATAAATCAATACTTAGAAGATTATCTCCTAAATAGCCATGTATTTTGGAGAGATTCAATGCATTAGAAGATAATATCGCAAAAATTATTTTTCTCAACTGTTGTTATACGAGAATAAATTAATACTGTAATGATGTACGTGATAAGAGCTTAGTTCTTATTTTGTCTTGAGCCTAGAATAATTTAAGAAAAAATAAAAGTCTTGTCAAAATGTGTGTCNAGGATGTGCCACAATTTGTTTCAATAACATCCGAAATTCCAGAACTATAAGAAGTCTTCTTGTATTTAACTTTGATAAGGGCGATAAGTTTTATGAACAACTTATTGATGTCAAAATTGTTCAGTATTAGCTAAATTTGTAACAAAACTAAATATATTGAGTACTTTGAAGAATAAGAAAAAGTTTTTTCCCAATTACTTTTGTTACAACTTGTGCAAAATCGGGCTTTTAAACACTATAAGAAGATCAAGGGAAAGAACGGTTTATGTCCATTTTTCTCATAAAAGAACCATTGGATTGCCTTTTGCTACATTTTAGGTTTACTAAGTTTTTACAAATGTGTTTCTTCAGAAGTAATTACATAATGAAAATGAGTTTTGCTGGGGAAAAACTGTTCCTGTAAGCGCAGAAATTCATTTTTATGAGAATTAGCCATTTTATCCCTTTGATCTTCATATCTAAACAAAACTATATAAGAAAACAAAAATATAGTACTGATTTTTTTAATGATGTTGTATCATTATTTATGATAGAAAAATTAAAACACAAGCAAATATTATTGTTTCAAAATTTATTATAATTCCTCCTTTTTATTATAAGTAATTTCACTTTGATTTATTTATAATAAGGGTGATAGGTTTCATGAACAACTTATTGATAAAAATTGTTCAGCATTAACTAAATATTTTTATTAGTAATTTCACTTATAGTTTAATATTCATACACTAAAAGCCTTGACTTGAAAAGTCTCACGATTTGACAGTTTTGATTTTTCAATCTATCCCTAATCCTTCCTTTGAGTGTAGTGTAATCGGGTTTCTACTGTAAATAAATAAAATGAAGTCTAAGAAATAATATTATAAAATGAATTATTCAATACATAAATAATGCAATTTTTTTTTTGAATATAATTTGTCAGTGTGCAATTCTTTTTAATAAATTATTCATAGATAAATAGTGAATTTTTTATAAAAAATATAATTTATGGGTGTGTAACCTTTTTTTCTTATTTAAAACTCTTTTAGGAGAGGAATTCAGTCACGGCAGATAAAAAACCTTGTAATATAAATCACGCATCCGACAAGGTTAAGAAGAAGACATTAAAAAAGACCAGAAAATTTGTAATTGATGGAGTAGTAGTAACTACTACTACCAGCAAAGTAATATATGGTGATGAAGATAAACAGCCCAAAGAGGATCACATATTGAGGTAACAGTAAACATGCTAAAATTTTATAACTGAACCAATTTTACTTTGCTAATTTTTTTTTGTTGATCTTTTGGTCATAAAAATATTTTCTGGTATAAAGCAATAGAAAGTATTTCATATCTATAATGAAATTTTTCTCATTATTTTTTTCCAGAAAACTCCAATTAAGGGAATTAAAAATGCTACAAAAACATGAAACTAAGCAATTTCAAGATCTGAGTTTAAAAGCTCAGGGTGCTCGAGAAAGTGCTGAAAAAAGATTTGATCAAGAAATGTCTGTAAGTTTTATTCTCAATCTAATTAGTTTTTACAGACAATATTTTCAGTTTTTTTTAAATAATTAACTATGAAAAAAAGAATTCTTTTGTTATATGAGTATTCTTATGTTTTTGTGAGTATTAGAATACTAACTCAATATTCTTAAATTAGTACTTTATTTTACTGACAATCCATTTTAAGATAGTGTACATATTAAACTGTTCTCCCAGAAAGTGCTTGACTTTTTACTCGGATCACCTAGCTGCCTAAGCGGGGGTGTTATCCCCTCTGCATTTTGATGGCATGTTTTCAGATCATCCTCAGGAATGGTTCCTAGACCGTCACCATTAATCAATTGTGCTGCTCTAGTGCGATGTAAATAAACTACTGCTACTACCATTTCAAGAAAATTCAAGTTTTTTTTCCCTATTGCTATCTATTTTTATACAATTGATTTATGGTTAATGTGACATATCAATCCTCTTGTTAAAAATTTAAAAAAGGCATTGTAAATTGCTTTTACATATCATTAAAATTGATATTTTTCATCTCCTGAAGCAGAATTTAAACTAAGATGCATTTTTTAGTTTTTTTTAATGCTCATGCTTCTCTTTTTTATTTTATTATTAATATATAATAAATATATTAATGTTAATAATTAATATATAATATTAGTAATTAATAAAATTTTTATTTGTAATTTTTTCTGTACTTTTACTGTTTTGCTCATGTTTTTTGTATAATTTTTTTCCTGTCTGTTTTTGTCACATTAAGATGCATATTTTCAGACTTTTTGTTCTTTCTCATTCTTATACGTGTGTGTAGTTAAGGTTTTTTGCTGTTAACATAAAAAACCTGAATTTCTCAATGTAAAAATAGTGAAGATAACACACTAATTATATTTGAATAGAGTAGTTGCAGTGCAAATATGAATATATTTGCACTGCAACTATATTGTATTTAAATGTAATGTTGTATTCATTAATGATGCTTGAATTATTTATTTGTTTTTAACAAAAACTGTTTTCAATTTCATATTTTTCTAACCCAAAATAGATTTTTTGCCCATATTATTTCCCCATTTATTTAGTTAATCCTGATCTGACAATATATTCTTAATGATTTATATTGTATTGTTTAAAGGCTTTGATTCGCAACTATGAAGCAGATCTTGAAGCTTTGACAAGGCAACAAAAACAACAACTAGAAAGATTTGAACAACAACAGGATTTGGATTTAAAAACTGCTTCTAAGAGAGTTAAAATTGAACAGGTATGTTTCATTATCATTCATAAAAGATTTAATAACTATAAATAAGATTGCATCCTTTCTCAATTACATAATAAAAATAAATATAATTAACAATTTTGTGTACTAATCCAGTTAATGTGGTTCAATGATATTACTTTTATTAAAGGAAATTGTCTTTCCATTTAATGCTTTTAATTTTGACTAGTAAAATATAATTAAAATTCTTATGATCAATTAAAAATATGTTAGTGATTTGGAGCAATTTTATATATTTTTTTCATATAGTGTGGATTGAAGGATATTTTATCTATATTAATAACATAATTTTTAACAAATTAAATAATAGTTAAACTAAACCTACAAAATCTCTTATAAAATGTTGAATTTATGATAAGATGAAGAGTTGAAGTATGAGAAATAATAATTAATTTCCAATTAAATATTTTTCCCTACGACGAGGGGCATCGGCAATTTTCATGCAGCGAGGAGCTATGCTGCATCGTCCATTTTCTGCTTTTCCCATTATTCATTTATTCCTCAATAAAACTCCTTTTTTCATATATGATTTCCTTCTAATAGTTGCAGAGTCAAAATTAAATCAGGCTGTGCGGGAGGCATGAAGATGTATATTTTTAAGTATACAAATAGAATATTAGGAAATATTAACAAATGTTTATTTTACCTACATTAGTCACGAAAAAGTTTATTTTCTATTTTTTTATGTTCTCCTTGCATTTGAAAAAAGAATAATAATTAAATTATATTTTTATAAAAGGATATAAAAGTATTTTAATTTAGTGTTTTATCTTTAAATTAATAAGTGTGCATGAGTAATAGTATTAAAAATTTTAAAAATGATATAAAATGTTTCAGTTTTGTAGTTTTCTATCTTCTATCTTATGCTGTATAAGTTTGCATTGTTTACAATATTTGAGTCTAATGTATCCCTTTTATTTATCTAAGACCTAATTGTGCTGTTTTGTTATTACCTTGCTAATATTTAAAATGTATTTATTGCCTTGCTAATGTTAGCATATATTTTTATGACATGCCTTTCCTAGATTTTAAGGAATAGCTTTCTATTGTGGTGTGTTTGAAGAGGTAGTATATTTTTGATTCGTAATTCTTAAAATCAAAAACCTTTAACCCTTTGACGCAGATGGGACACTGGTGTCTCTTATCTATATATATATATATATATATATATTGGATGATCTAATTACAAGCCAAAAATATATTTTGGTATTTTTTAATTTTAACAAACAGTGTAATAGTTTCTAAAAAAAATGTTAGATTATCGGAATTATGTTTGTACTAAATTACAAAATTCTAAAAAAGTAATAAAATTTTTTTCTTTTCATTCATATTTAAAAATTTATTAATTATTCATTTTGCAAATTAAAGAAATTTCAATGATGAATAAATGTTTCTCTTAGATCTAAGTAACTTCTGATGTGTGTAAGTTTAAAAAATTATTGTTTGGTAGTGAGCCGTGTTTGGAAGATTTTACCTTTAATGCAAAAAAAGACACCAATGTTTCATGCTGTATTTCCTAACCATAAATTATTAAAAGGCTAAATATAATATTTTTCACTTATTTTGATCTAAATTAATTCAAAATGATGAAAAAAGCATGAAAAATATGTTTAATACAAATTCTACGTCAAATAGTTAAAGAGCTTTTTTTTTATGAATATGTCTAAACATTTATATCAATATTTGCATTAATTTCAACATTTTGACTTCATCATAAAATTCCCTAAATCTCTCATTTATTAGTTATTGATTTAATATTTGTTATTTTAATTATTGCATGTTTATAATTTATTCATCTAATTATCTATGGGTTAATTTTTTAATATAAGTACTGTCGAGAAATGTTTAGATAATTTTAAAATTACCATTTTTCATTTTTTATTTTAATTAATGATTTTCCTTTGCAGGAAAGGGAACTAAGAACATTTAGAGAAAGTTTGAAGCATGAGCTGAAGCTGTTAAAACATGAAATTGATTTATTGCCTAAGGAGAAACGGAAAGATGCTTATAAAGAAAGGAAGGATAAACTAGATATAGAACATCTTGATAAGGTCTGATTGTTTTGTTATTAAACCATAGTGAGCTCTTTGCAATTATTAAATAAACTTCATTTTTCATTATTGTGTTTTATATTATTTCATTATTGTATGCTGTGTGTTATATTTTTATGTTATTGATNAATATTAGTAATTAATATATAATATTAGTAATTAATATATAATATTAGTAATTAATATATAATATTAGTAATTAATATATAATATTAGTAATTAATATATAATATTAGTAATTAATATATAATATTAGTAATTAATATATAATATTAGTAATTAATATATAATATTAGTAATTAATATATAATATTAGTAATTAATATATAATATTAGTAATTAATATATAATATTAGTAATTAATATATAATATTAGTAATTAATATATAATATTAGTAATTAATATATAATATTAGTAATTAATATATAATATTAGTAATTAATATATAATATTAGTAATTAATATATAATATTAGTAATTAATATATAATATTAGTAATTAATATATAATATTAGTAATTAATATATAATATTAGTAATTAATATATAATATTAGTAATTAATATATAATATTAGTAATTAATATATAATATTAGTAATTAATATATAATATTAGTAATTAATATATAATATTAGTAATTAATATATAATATTAGTAATTAATATATAATATTAGTAATTAATATATAATATTAGTAATTAATATATAATATTAGTAATTAATATATAATATTAGTAATTAATATATAATATTAGTAATTAATATATAATATTAGTAATTAATATATAATATTAGTAATTAATATATAATATTAGTAATTAATATATAATATTAGTAATTAATATATAATATTAGTAATTAATATATAATATTAGTAATTAATATATAATATTAGTAATTAATATATAATATTAGTAATTAATATATAATATTAGTAATTAATATATAATATTAGTAATTAATATATAATATTAGTAATTAATATATAATATTAGTAATTAATATATAATATTAGTAATTAATATATAATATTAGTAATTAATATATAATATTAGTAATTAATATATAATATTAGTAATTAATATATAATATTAGTAATTAATATATAATATTAGTAATTAATATATAATATTAGTAATTAATATATAATATTAGTAATTAATATATAATATTAGTAATTAATATATAATATTAGTAATTAATATATAATATTAGTAATTAATATATAATATTAGTAATTAATATATAATATTAGTAATTAATATATAATATTAGTAATTAATATATAATATTAGTAATTAATATATAATAATAATTAATAAAAATTTTATTTGTAATTTTTTCTGTACTTTTACTGTTTTGTTCATATTTTTTGTATATTTTTTTCCTGTCTGTTTTGTGTCACATTAAGATGCATATTTTCAGACTTTTTGTTCTTTTCTCATTCTTATACACGTGTGTAGTTAAGGTTTCTTGCTGTTAACATAAAAAATCTGAATTTCTCAATGTAAAAATAATGAAGATAACATTCTAATTATATTTGAATAGAGTAGTTGCAGTGCAAATATGAATATATTTGCACCGCAACTATATTGTATTTAAATGTAATGTTGTATTCATTAATGATGCTTAAATTATTTATTTGTTTTTAACTAAAATTGTTTTCAATTTCATATTTTTCTATCCCAAAATAGATTTCTTGCTTATTATTTCTTCATATATTTAGTTAATCCAGATCTGACTGCGTACCCTTAATGATTTATATTGCATCTTTTAAAGGCTTTAATTCGCAACTATGAAGCAGATCTTGAAGCTTTGACAAGGCAACAAAAACAACAACTAGAAAGATTTGAACAGCAACAGGATTTGGATTTAAAAACAGCTTCTAAAAGAGTTAAAATTGAACAGGTATGTTTCATTATCATTCTTAAAAGATTTAATAACTATAAATAAGATTACACCCTTTCTCAATTACATAATAAAAATAAAGATCTTTAACAATTTTTTGTACTGATCCAGTTAATGTGGGTTCAATGATATAAATTTTTTATTAGAGGAAATTGTCTTTCCAGTTTATGCTTTTAATTTTAACTGTAAAAATAGAATTCATATTTCAGTCGTTAATAATAATAATAATTTTTTTAATTTTAACTAGTAAAGTATAAATAGAATTCTTATGATCAATTAAAAATATGTTAGTGATTTGGAACAATTTCATATGTATATATTTTTTTCAAATTGTGTGGATTGAAGGAAATTTTATCGATATTAATAACATAATTTTTTAGCCAATAAAGTAATAGTTAAACTGAATTAACAAAATCTCTTATAAAATGTTGAATTTCTTATAAGATGAGGAATTGCAGTATGAGAAATAATCATTAATTTACTATTAAATATTTTCCCTTACGTCTAGGGGCATCGGCCATTTTCTTGCAGCGAGGAGCTATGCTGCATCTCCCATTTTCCGCTTTTCCCATTATTTATAATTATTCATTAATTCCCCAATAAAATTCCTTTTTTCATATATGATTTCCTTCTAATAAATGTTGAGTCAAAATTAAATCAGGCTTTGGGGAATACATGAAGATAATTTTTAAGTATACAAATAGAAGATTTGAAAATATTAGCAAATGTTTATTTTGCCTACTACAAAATAGTTTATTTTCTATTTTTTTTTAAACTAAAAATTAAATTTTTCTTGCATTTGATAATGTAAAAAAACAAAGAATAATAATTAAATAATATTTTTATAAAATGATATAAAATAATCTTAAGGTGTTTTATCTTTAAATTAATAATGTGCATGAGTAATAGTGTTAAAAATTTTAAGATTATATGAAATGTTTCAGTTTTGTACTTTCCTATCTTTTATTTTATGCTGTATAAGTTTGCATTATTTAAAATATTTGTGTCTAATTTATGCTTTTTATTTATCTAAGACCAAATTGTGCTGTTTTGTTATTACCTTGCTAATATATAAAATGTATTTATTGCCTTTGCTAATGTTAGCATATATTTTTATGACATGCTTTCCTAGATTTTAAGGAATAGCTTTCTGTTGTGGTGTGTTTAAAGAGGTAGTATATTTTTGATTTGTAATTCTTAATATCAAAAACCTTTAACCCTCTGACGCAGATGGGACACTGGTGTCTCTTATATATATATTTTTCTGATGATCTAATTACAAGCAAAAATATATTTTGGTATTTTTTAATTTTAACAAACAGTGTAATAGTTACTTAAAAAGAGTTAGATTATCAGAATTATGTTTGTACTAAAATACAAAGTTCTAAAAAAGCAGTTAAAATTTTTTTTTTCATTCATATTTAAAAATTTATTCATAATTGATTTTGTTAATTAAAGATATTTCTATGATGAATAAATGTTTCTCTTAGATCTAAATAAGTTCTGATGTGTGCAAGTTTAAAAAATTATCGTTTGGGAGTGAGCCATGTTTGGAGGATTGTACGATTGTATCTTTAACTCAAAAAAAGATACCAATGTTTCATGCTGTATTTCCTAACCATAAATTATTAAAAGGCTAAATGGAATATTTTTCACATATTCTGATCTAAATCAATACGAAATAATGAAAGAAGCATGAAAAATATGTTTAATATAAATTCGACGTCAAATAGTTAAAGAGCTTTTTTTTATGAATACGTCTAAACATTTATATCAATATTTGCATTAATTTCAACATTTTGGCTTCATCATAAAATTCCCTAAATCTTTTATTGATTAGTTATTGATTTAATATTTGTTATTTTAATTATTGCATGTTTATAATTTATTCATCTATCTATGCTTTATTTTCTATGGGTTAATTTTTTAACATAAGTACTGTCGAAAAATGTTTAGATAATTTTAAAATTACCATTTGTCAATTTTGTATTTTAATTAATAATTTGCCTTTGAAGGAAAGGGAACTAAGAACATTTAGAGAAAGTTTAAAGCATGAACTGAAGCTGTTGAAACATGAAATTGATTTATTGCCTAAGGAGAAACGGAAAGATGCTTACAAAGAGAGGAAGGATAAACTAGATATAGAACATCTTGATAAGGTTTGATTGATTTGCTATTAAACCATAGTTAGATAAGCTCTTTACAATTTTTAAATAAGCTTTTTTAAAAAAAAAGTGGTTTAAACGTTTTTCATTATTGTGTTTTATATTATTCCATTATTGTATGTTGTGTGCTATTTTTTATCTTATTGATATATGTGTAGATTTATATTCATTTTTACGTTACTTCTTTTTATGAAATAATACATTTTATATATCTTATTTATAAAATTCGTTTTTGAATATCTATTTCATTAGCTAATTTTTTACATTAGCATGTTGACTTTTGGATAAGTTTTGAAACAATTGTTCATTTCTTAACAAAAACATAAAAATTGCATCGTGATTACCACTCAAATCAAAACTACATGTTTGTGAATAATTTTCGTTATCATTAGCTCATTGTTTTTTAGTTCAAGTCATTATTAGGTGAAATAGTGTACAATATGTCGTAATTAATGTGTTCTTAAGCGACTATGTACAAATGTAGTCTTTTTGCTTGTTGCAATCAAATTTTTTTAGCTAATGATATTTGCACTATTAAGTAATCTGGGGACCCATTGTACTATTTCCCTTCATTATCTCTTTATAAGTTACCTCAAACATCCTATCTGTTTAAATTTTATTCTGCTCAAACTCTGTTTTTTTTATTATTTTTTTTTAAAGCAATTTAGTTTGCAATTATGTATTATTCAGTATCAAGCTTTGTAAATGAAAATTTAATCTTTATACAAGAAGTATATTTGACATTTTAGCACTTTTTCAAGACAAAAATGTTAGAAAATATAGATGAAATTACTGCGTGTGTATACATCGACTTATTACCGTGTTGGGTCATTCATTTCTTGTTTAGCTCATAGATTTCTTTCGCATCTTATTGTTCTCCTCAAACTACATTAATCTTCTTTGCATCCAGGTGAACTGAGTCAATCTCGTAAATCAAAGAAGCAGCTATCTTAAGGCGAACATTCAAACCACAACTTTAACCACTAGAGGATATCTTTTTATTTCTCAAAATTATATATATATCAACAGTGTGACTCTATGGACGCCGAATATCTCAGGATGTCAAGACATGTTATCTTCTCTTACTTGCTCTTTTGCAATTTTCCCCCATTTTATTCTTAAAGTTGATTATGGAAATTTCACATATTTTTTAATTTAAAGTTTTTGATTTTTTAAAACTAACAAAATTGGTAAAAAGGAAGAAATCTGGAAAGTGAGCATGTTAATGAATTTTAAAGTGAGCATTCTAAGAGCATGTTAGAGAATTTTAAAAGGTTTAACTTACTCGCTTAAATGTACTGGGAATACTCGGCTAACTTTAAAGTAGTAGCGTCTCTTCTTCAGTGTACTGTGGTACCAGCTATCTCCATAATTACAACACTAAGCATTAAGCACCTGGGCAAGCTACAGTGAATGAAAGCCCAGTAGATATTTATGCACAACCTTGTCATGACCTCACCAAAGAAATAATCTAATGATTTTTTTTGAAAATTGTAATAATCATTTTCTACTATACATTTTATTGCATTTAAAACTAATGATTTTTATTAAGAAATATTAGAAATTAAAAATATTTATTTTGTGTTTGCTAATGTAAAAACTTTTGTGAACTGTATTATTAAACATGTTGGTTTTGTTTATTGTATTGTTAAAACAATTTTTAATTTCTTGTATATGCAGGAGGAATCCTTTTTAAAGAAACTTAGTATTAATCATGAACTTTCAATGAAAAGACTAACAGATAGCTATTCAGCGAAAATTGCACTGTTGGAGCGTCAGTTTCTGGAGCAAAAGCAACAATTGCTTAGAAGTTAGTACTGGTTTTATATTACCCTGAGATCTGATATTAATTTTGCATCACAAAGAAGAAAAAAAAGGAGTTCAAAACAAATTTCAGATAAAATTTATTCCTCATACATCCTTATTTCTTTTTGCAGATGTTTAAATTTTTATTCTTTTTCTATGCAAGTTTTCTACCTTCAGTAAAGTACTTAATTTTTCTAAGGATTTAGATTTAGAAACTTTAAAATTCAAATTGGTCTTCAGGGACCAGTTAGTTAATCAGTTAATTATTTTTTATTATTTTTGTCGGGTAATCTTTGTAGGTATTCTGAAGAACCTGAACTGATCACCACTTGGTTGAATGATGAATGAGGGCGAATTTTTTTTTTTCATTACACAAAGATTTGAAATATTGGTTAGGTATTTCATTAAGGTGAATAAAGCTATTGCTATTGATCGTGTTTTTTTTAACATTATTGATTCATTTGTAGAAAATTAATGATCCAATCTATTGATTGCTAGTTACTGATAACTAATATCATGCACTTCCTCAAAAATGGTTGCCAATTAGATTTTTACGTCCTTTATTACCAATTCCTTGTTTCTTTTGTTGAAAATGTTACCGCTTACCACACTAGTCTTGTAATTTTAAAATATACTTAAATTAACAAGGGAACTTAATTCAAATTCAAATTTGTTGACAAACTTGCCATCATGGAAATTTTAACTTAACATAATTTATATTTATATTTCATTAATACTTTGTCATGAAATTTATCTCACTTTATCTTGAGGGTTATATGGCTTTAAACCATGATCATTTCTTCTCTTCTAATCCCATTTTGGATCTTAAACAAGGATTAACTTCCCGAAGATATTTAGGCTTTTTTATATCAAATTAATGTGCTCACAGAAATATGGAGTTCTATATTTATTGTTAATAAAATAAGTTGTTCTGCAAAACTCAAATGTTTTCTTCAAACCACAGAACTTGTCCTTAACTTTTAAAACTTGCATAAATTTTTTAATGTAATGATTGTATTAATTTTTTTAACACTATAATGAAGACTAAATCTATAGTTTCTTGCGTAGCTGTGCAAACTCTAAAAAAATAAATATGAAAATAATTTAGCAAAATTGTGTGAGCAGCAATTTTTAAAAGTTATAATTTTTGCTTATGAATAAGTTTATATTTTATTACTTTAATATATTCTAAACTTAATTAATTGCATTAAATTGCAAATTATTCATTGTTGCATCATTGGAAGGAGGAGAATTTCATCAGTTTGTTTTGACGTAAACTATTATTATACATACCTTTCCTGTAAGTTTAAAAAAGATTTTTGTGTTACTAAATCAGTTGATGAAGTTTAACATTTATAAATACCTCAAAATTATAATGTTTTAAATTTATTACGAAAAATATAGTTCCTTTAATTTCGTTAAATATTCATGATGTCTGTTCCTATTCTTGACAATTAAATATTAATATTTGATAACTTTCTGCATATAGCCCGAGAAGCTGCAATTTGGGAAATGGAAGAACGGCATTTACAAGAAAAGCATCAGCTGTCAAAACGTCAACTAAAAGATATATTTTTCCTTCAACGTCATCAAATGTTAGTCAGACATGAAAAGGTAACCAATATCTTCCAATATATAATACAAAGGTAACCAATATATAATACAGATTTTCTTAAACTTTTAATTTCTGTACAACTTCCAGCATGAAAGTTATGTTTCACTGTCTATTTTTTTTTCATTTACATTTTAGTCATTTTTGTACACATTATTAAATTTTATAAAATATATTTGATCATATTTTAGTATTTAGAAAATATGATCAAATTAAAAAAAAAAATTTTTTTTGTCTATTTAATAATTTATAATTAACCTCTCTTAGTAATCTTTATAACTTTTTTGTTATACTTCAATGCTTTATTTAAAGTCTAAAATTTAAATCAATTTTATTTTTGTCTGAAGGATCACAACAAGTATAAAAGCTCTTAATATTATGCTTAATGTTTTTATTACCGCTTTTTTATTTATTTGAATTTATGTTTATAGGTATATTATAAGTAAGACATAGACTATATATAGTTTATATTAAAAAATTGGTTTTGAAAATGGGAATCTAAAATTGTTAATAAAGCTTGAATTTTTAGTAATTAGAACAGACTGTCAAATTTCTTCCATTCTAATCTGTGTTCATAGCTGAGAATTTTGCCTGTTTATCTCGAATTTTTAATATACTTATAAATTCTCCTGGTTATTATATTTTATAAAACTCCTTATTTCCTTAAAAAAATCCCTGTAATTTTTTCCCCCTTAGCTATTGCTTGCTTGAAAATATGAATATGTAATACTATCGAATAATAAAGTGAGTGTCATTTATAGTTATGCATTCAGCACTTTCTATTTTATATTTAAAAATATTAATGTTTTATTATACAAATTTTTATTTTTAGAGAGAAGAATTATTAAAGAGTAAGTTACACTGTTGTTCTATATTTGATGAAGTGGGAAAGAAGGACTTGGGTTAAATATTAAGCATTACACAATGACTGAACAACATTATACATCTGATAAAAAATAAATACTTAATACAAAACATGATGGTGACTGTTAGGTCTTATGTTTCTATTATCATCCTAATTCCACCTCTAACATTATTTACTATACTCTTAAACTTAATTAAAAAACAAAACTGTCATCAATCCGAATAAAATGTAATTACTTACTGATTCTTCCTATACTACTATTTAATAATGAATTTAGCACCTATTACTAGACAATATAAGAAGTTAAAGAACCTGATAATTATGATGAAAAAACATTATAGTCAAGTCTATTTAATGCTAGTCACAAAAAGAAAATGTTTCTGCTAATTTAGGCTGTTTTTTGTATATTGTGGTTTTTCTATTTTATTTAGCTTTACAAATTATTAAATATCCATGTGGAATATTTCCTGTAATCTGCAATACTTCGCTTAAAATTTCTCTCATTTTGTACAATCTTATGAATAATTTTAATTAATGCAGGTATCTATGTACATTTATCAATGAAACAACTTAATTAACTTCACAAATTAAGGGGGTAAAGGTTGATATGTTCTAGCACTTAAAGCAGACACCCACCATGAAGACCCAACAACATGTAAAAGTGAGTGTTCCTTCACTCCTTGGGGGGTCACGATAATGGATATCTGTTTCAAATACTTGAAACATGTCAACTTTTTCCGCCTCAGTTCTTTAACCTAATGAAGTTTTTCCACTGATAAGTGTATCTATCAATTTCAGTTTCTTGGAATTATTCAGTTTAATAATTATTTGCAGTTGCATAATCATATAAATCTAACTTTCATTAGGAATTGGAACAAGTGAAGAGAATGAATTCTTGTAAAGAAGAAGAATTGTTGAAATGGCAAGCCATTGAGAGGAGACAACTTCCAAAGCGTATCCGAGCTGAAATGAAGACTAGAGAACTGATGTTTAGAGAAAGTTTGAGAATAAGTGTGGTAAATTTTACTGAATCTTCAGAAGAGGAGAAAGAAAAAATCAAAAAAGTATGCATTAATTTTAAAGTTATTGAATTTATAAATCGTTTTTCGTGATTAAATTATTATGCATTGTTTTTAAAATGGAAAGAGTATAATTTAAATTTAATTAAGTGTATGAATTATGATAGTATACTAAATGCAATGTATTATTTACAAAATTAACAGATTTGTATTTTAATTTATATTTGCATAGAAAATATATATATATAACATTAAATATTATACATTTTTGATGTAACAGAAAATTTCTTTATAATGTTTAATAATATGACTGTGATGCAAACTAAGTTATAAAAATAAAATTAAATGATGTTATTGCTTATTCATTTTGAATACAGTTGGTTTTTTATTTAACGACTTTAAAGGAACCATAAAAGATTGTCAAGTAGAAAGTGTTCTCAAACGGATCTCAAAAAAATATTAATAATAACGTTTGAAAAACATGCTCTTTCACTGATTATGAAATTGCCAATTATATTGTTCAATGAATTAGGGTGTTTAATAAACTTTTTCTTAAAATTTTTTTTTCTTCTTCGTTAAATTGAGAGTAAAAGTAAAGAGCAATTTTACTCTATTTTTACTTATGAAAGCTTAATATTTGATATGTTTTAACTATCTTTTCTGGTATAGCAAGGTTTTGTTTGTTTTAAACAACATTTATTATTTGATACAAAAAATTTTACGTGGTCTTTTTTTCATTTTAAAATTTTATAATTTTTATTTTGTAGTTGACATTTGTTAAAAGGACTTTTTTGCAGCTGTTGTAGCTGCATAATTAAACTATAGCAATGTATCTGAATTTTGTTTTGACGCTAATTTGTTTTTTCATCTTTAAATATATATTTTTTATTTTTAATGATTTTTTGCTTCAATTTAGATATTGTTATTTTAATATTAACTATTATTACTAACTTTTATCAAAATTATTTTTTTAGTATTTAAAGCTATTTTGTATTTTTAGTTTCAGGATGGAGAAAAGAAACGGTACAAGGCAGAACAAGCTCGTTTTGAACAAAAGCAGAAGCGACAGTTGGAAGAGTTACGACTTTCTGCTGAAACAACACTTAAAGAATTAGNAATTTTATTATTGTTTATTTTATTTTACTTCTAACACTTTTTTGACGTAGGGGGTACGGGTACTTTTGTTCTGAGTTCAGGGTCAAGTTGAATTCACTCGATGATGTGGGAAAGTACTGATTGTTTCGATTTACGTCTGTTTCTTTTTGGGTTTTTTTAACGCCAAAACTGTTTATAAAAAGTTTTTGTTTTTCAGTAATATCATTGATTGAATATAAATTTTTTGAGTGCTTGAAAATTTTTGTAAAGTGCTTGAAAAGTTTTTAAAAAGTGCTTATTTTTGATTCAAAGATTTGGCTACGCACCCTGTCTCTGACTAACTAAGCTTTTTAAAAAAAAACAAAAAAACTATCTAACAAAACTATTAATTGTCTATTCTATTTATTATCTTCTATGTGGGTAATTATTTGTTTTATCATTATTTGTGAAACTCAACATTTATGTATTCTATTGCGGAAGCATAAAATTTTAAAATGTCTTTTTATTTGTAATTTAGGGCACACACACTTGAAAAAGAAAGACATTATATAAAATATTATTTTAAAATTTCCTGTAAATTTATAAAATGTCACAGTTTTTGCTGTAAGTCACTTATATTTTTTCTCTTACAAATGTTTTGTCATCCATCTATTTATATTTTCTGAAATTATATCCAGTTGATAAATTTTAAGCCTGTTTTGGAATGAGAGATAGTTTTTCAAGGAAGATTTAATTTTAGAAATGATTGCATGACTCTGTAATATTAGACAGTATTAGTTATCATATAAAAAATAAATATAAATAAAAAGGAAATATAATCATAAAATATGAATTGCCATAAAATTTAATTGCTAATATTTATTTATTTATCAATTAATTTATTTTTGTCTGTAGAATGAAAAAAGAAAAATGTTGATGGAGCATGAAACATTAAAGCTGAAACAGCTTGACGAGAAACACTCAGAAGAGTTACAGAAGTGGAAGCAAGGTTTAAAAGTCAGAAAACAGGTAATTTTTTTGCAAAACATAATATAATGTGATGAAAAGAAAGTTTTTAAACTTTAATATTTTGTAAAAATAAGTAATTAATGATAATAAAAATTAATCATTAATAATTAAAAATTTTATTTTTTTAATCTGAAAATCTAATTTTATTGAAAACTACTAACTTAATATATTGAAGAATTTATAATACAGTCCTAAAAGCCTTTTGTGTGCTTCAAGAAATAGTTAATTTTAATAACAAGGGGCAGATAATTTAAATTCAAGAATTAAATAATTTATATTGACAATATGAGTTGTTAAAATTAAAAAAATATATATCAAAAGTAATAAGTATTAATAACATACAATACAATTTTTTTAACCAATATAAATTAATTCTAATATCTATGTCTCTACATTTAATTTGAATAATTATAAATGAATGACAATAATTAAATAACAATTTTAATTAAATAATTTAGCATCTACATATAGTTGTTTGAAAATGATCCGTATACCTGGTTCAGTGGTTTAGCAACCGTTTCAAGGGTACTTCACTCTAAGTTAATTTGGTTAAATTTTACAATTCTCTAGCTCTGAAAGTTTTTAAAATATTTCTTTTGACTTATGGATTTTATAATAAAATTAGTATTATTTATTGCTATTTCACTCTTTTAATTGGTTTTTTTCCTCAGACTTAAGAAAAAAAATTAATTTGGTTAAACTTTACAATTCTCTAGCACTAAAATTTTTTTAAATATTTCTTTCACCTATCAGTTTTATAAAAGAATAATATTATTTATCACTCGTTAACTATTTTAATTGTTTTTCTTCTTCTCAGACTTTAGAAGAAGAATTTGTGAAGCAACGTGAAGAACATGAATTGCTATTAAAGAAGCATGCAAGTGTAGAACTTAATCCTTCTAAATTTATCGAGACCTGAAAAATTAATGATGTCTTTTATTCAAATTTTAATTTGCTTTTTGTTTGTAAAAAAATGTATTCTTATCCCCACTAGTGATTCTGTGCCAATGGTCAAAGATCTGATGAAAATAAAATACATTTCCAATTTTGATTATGAATGAAATTTTCTTGCTGTAAAATCAATTAACGCAGTTAAGTCTGTGATATATTTGTTAGATTTATATTAAATCTTGTTTTTATTTGTAAAATGTCTTATTCATTGACCATCAGTTTATACCTTGTATAAAACATCTGAATATTTCATGTTCATTTGTGGTATCAAATGATTTATTCCTCGAATATTAAGTTGTGATGTTTTATAATATTGTAATGAGTGATTTTGCATTGATCTCTGGTTGTCGAAAAGAATGAATTACAGTACGTTGTGAAAAGACATAGATTTATATCAAATAATTTCATTTATCATTGTTTAATTTGTTATTGTTTTTCAAGAGTTTTAGATTCTTAACATTTGTTAATTGTGTATCTCATTTTATTTAACCTTCTCATCTGGCATTTAAATTTCGCTTAAAAATCATTAAAATATAAATGAATCGGTTATTTAATAAAGAGAGTATATCAAATTTTTTAGAACATTTTTACAAAATTAACTTTAGTGATGATTTTGCCATACTTTTAGACAGAGAAATCAATTCTTGCAGAAAAGACAACTAAACCCCATTAAAATTAAGCACTTTATTTAGTGTTAGTGTTCACAAATCATGTTTAGTTTTGAAATATTAATATGTAACCGACTTTTTTATATTTGTTATGTATGTAATAATTTAATTTCATTTGAGTGTTTATGACGAGTCAAAATTTTATGAAATAAAGTAATTTTTAGAAAGACTTTTTTTTATTAAAGAAAATAAAACTATGCACATAGAGTGCATTTTCAACGAAAAAAAGGGGTGATCATGTGGTATTTAGCAGACTATTTTTTAATTGTCATTTGTTATATTTGGTTGCTCTGTGGCCATTAATTTTGCCTTTTAGTCTTTTTAACTTTTAATTAGACTTTTAAGTTATTTGTTTCATAAAGAACATTAGTCTGAATTTTGAGTTAAATTAATTAATTGCAATCTTTCAATAAAATTGCAAATTACTCAAATGACAAAACAAAGCACAAATTACCATAAAATAATGTTCCTACGTTTGTACTTATGAATAGATAAGTACAAAAAATATTTGCCATATTTTGTTCGTCTCTGAAGTAAATAAATTCTTATCATTGAATTCTAAAAGAAATTTAAAAAGTGGGACCCTTTCTTAAATAACCGATTCAAATATTTAATTCATAATAATACTCAAACGGAAAAAATTCATGAAATTCAAATATATAAATATTTTATAAGAAAATATTTAATTTAAAAGATTGTTAGGAATATTTCTAACTTTGATAATTTTATTGATTCTTGATGGTAAAAAATAATAACCAAATTGTAAGGGGTCATTTAATTTTTAAATATTTTATTTAACTTTATTATCATGCCTTTATTTAAATTTTGCTGCAAATCAATGAAATAATTTATGAAAAATAATTAAAGAAGAAATCCATAATAAAATATAAAAACTGCAAATTTTACAAAACTTGGAAAGAAATTGCTAAAATGACTTTGCCTTTTTTTTAAGCAATAAGGTAACAAAGTTTAATACAAGATTGTAATTAAAAAATGAGCCCTGCATTATTTGTGAAAAGGTTAATAGTAGTTTTATCATTATTTACAAATTTTGTGTTAAGGCTTTTTATTTGAGGATTTTTGTGTGCTGTTGATGTTACCAGGAAACTTAAGAATAAATAAAAATGTTTTTTTTTTTTTTAAATACATACATCAAATATCAAATTAAAATTTTAAGGTGAAACTAAAAAAAAAAATTTATAGGCCGCAGCAGAAGCTGTATTAAGACCTTATTAACTAATTTACATAACACATTTATTTAATAATGTATATTCAGTATGTTTCATTTCTTTAAAAGATTTTATATATTTAATGCCTAAATTCTTGCCTAATGAAGTAATTATTAATTTTTATTTTGAGTTTGTTTGGAACTAAGTTTTAGTTTTGCTTTTCAGTTGCCAGTTTTATTATTTCTTTATAACATTTTCTTTTATTCTCCCTAAACCTAGTTTCTTTCATTTCTAATATACCTTGTCATTTGTAATAATATCTTACTCTTTTTTAAACATTTGTTTATAGTTGGTAAATTTAATAGATTACAGGATACTATTAGAAAATAAAACTGATATTAGAAAAATTAAATTAATGATCCTAATTAGTTACAGTTAACAAAAAAGTAATATTCTCATTATTGTGGAACAAAAAGTTACTCAAATGATATTAGAAACAAGAGAAGAAGAAAAGTGATCTAGCATTAGATGAATCTCAATTGCATTGATTAAGCATTTAAAGACATTTTACCTCGCATTGTATAGACATTGATATTTTTATAATGCGATTACATTAATTAGAAAATGTAATATACTTATCTATATTGCTGTTCTATTAGTTTGAGAAATTAAATTAACAATAACATTTTACTTTCAAAAATTTTATATGCAAATCACAATATCAAAGGAAAAAGTGTTAAAAAAATTCACAGATCTCCTTTTGGTGTTTGTATGAAATCTTCAGCAATTTATTTACACTTATTGTGCATTATTTTTAAATGGTGCTTTATTTTTAAACTTTAATCCTTTATCAAATTTTGTGCAATAATAATAACCTTGTTTAAAAATTGTACATGCTTGTAAATACTATTATCAATTACTAATCTTGTATTTTTTTTCAATATCTATATTTTGGAAACAAATACTGATTCTTGCCACTTCGTTTTAATTTAATATTTTTCATATTAGAAAACTATTTTAAAACTAATACTGTAATTTTGTGCCTTATCTAATTAACTACTTACCATGAAAGTTATTTTATATGTCCTCATTCAAAAATACTGAGTTTAAACTAAGTTTAGTTTAAGCTGCTTATTTAAATCTTCTTTAGAATTGTAATTGTATAGTAAATTCTATGTAATTAATATTTATAATTTAAAATTATTTTACTTCAGAAAAATTATTTTCCTTAAGTAATTTTTCAAAATAGTTAAGTAGTTACTTTACTTTTACAACATAGCTTACTAAGTTACTTTTGCAACATTGTTTAACTGGGCCAAATTTAAAACACTCATTTTATTAAGTGAAACAATATATATTCTTTTGTTTCTTAATAGTCATGTGATTTATGTATATTAAGGCTGAACGAGTTAATTTTACTCTAAAGATATTTTAAAAATAATAAAATTTAAACATATTTTTTAAATTGATTATTATTGTAAATAATATTTTTTTTTGTTTTGTTTTTATTATTTATTTTTCTCTGGGTGCTTTATTAAAAACTCTTTATAATTAGTTAATTTTGGATAACATGGTATAAATCTCACATCTATATTTTTTTGACATTTTTTTTCTCTTGTGTTATTAAAATAGAACTTAGTTGTTTTAAATCCCCACCCTTATTTTTACAGCACATGGGAGAGTTGTATTTAGACTTTTTAGAAAAATTTATCATTTGCATTTAGCTTTTATATATTGCTTTTTATTTATTAATTGTATTATAAAATGTTGTGATATTTACACAGTGAAGCTCATTTGTGTAAATAATTCAAATTTAGGTGCTGATTTGATCAATTAACTTTAAAAAAAAAAATCTTAAGGGAGTTATTCAATTATAAAAAAAAATCATAGTTTTCATTCTTAAAACAATGTCAGATAATTATTAAAATGATTTTTGTATATGACAATTTTTGTAACAAAATTTTATTCATCATACTTCTGCATCTCAGTGTTATATATTAATTTTCAGCAAATAAAAAAAAAAAAGAGTTTTAAAATTTGAATCGAAATGGGGTACTTATTGGTGTGATGGATCTATCGGTGATTAAGGCCACCAGGCCTAAAGTTTTCGAGCTGCAAAAAAATTACTAGAATGACTACTACACGCTCGGCGTCGAAATTTTAGAAGCGAGGGGGGAGAACAGCGCCATCTGCCATTCGTCCTCGGCCATTTACCAAGCGTGAAGGGATTTCTAGATCTAAAAAGGAAAATTCACAAACATTCGACTCAGATTCAACTTGATTATGAAACATATTAAAAATATTAGAAGAAATTAAAATACTTATTTACAACTCAAATATTGAACTGTGATGTCTTGATTTTTTTAAAATTTAATTTGCTGAAAATTGATATATAACATTAGTATTATGAATTTTGTATTACAGTAATATTAGCATGATAGATTAGAATCGTATTATTCTAGATTAGTCATTGCTTTAATAACTCAATAAATGTGAAAATGTTTTGAGTCAGATTTTTCTAATCCATTATGTTTAAAAAAATTTAATAATCTTGAAAATATTACTACCTCTCTATATTTCGTATTGCATGTTTGTTTATATCAAATAAAAGTAATTTTACTTATGACTTTGTGTTATAATAACTGATTTATTTCTAGTACTTTTTTAGTTGTGTTATTTAATTTGAAAAAATAGGCTTTTATCACACAATAAACCTCTTGATAAAAATTAAAAAATAGGGGTGCATTAAGAGAGATTTAAAATTGCAGAGAAAATGAAACTTTGTAATTTTTCGTATTATGTAGAATTTAAGAAAATCTCTGGCACACAATTAAGAAATTATATATTTTATCTTAATTGCTCATGGTTAAAAACTTTTCTTTATCTAACTCTTATTTATTTTTTTACCTTGCAAGAAATCAGAAAGGGATAAGGATGCTAAAGGGAGTGATCTGTTCAGATGTAATATGAACAGATCACTCCATATTGAACATATTTTTAATAAAATACAGTATGAGCTTAGCTTATAACTAGTATAGTAATTACTCACAATTCGTGTATAATTTAAATATGCTATTAAATAAAAAGAAAAAAAAATTGTCAACTTTCCCGAAGTATCCAAAAATTGTGTAGATGTAAGAAATTTTTTAATAGTTTGTAAAACATGTTCTTAATTTATGTTATAAGTTTTTAAAATTGTGTGTATTTTATTATTTTATGAAGCTTATAAAGAAGTTACACTGGAATTACTTTAACGAAATGTTCAACTATAATGAACTCCCATCTAATATAGAGGGTTCACATAAGTCTTACAAATTCATAATAGAGGTAGTAAATTTACATTATTATTAGGAATTTCTTTTTATCGTATACCACTTAAACGTTTAGAGATCTCAGTACTTAGAATTCTAATACATATATTTCATTTAAAAGTATATTCCTAATATACAGTAAGAAGTCAAATTGCATTAAAATATTTATTTTTTTCACTACTTTTTAAAATTTTTAATTGTAAGACCTGTAGGATTCTCATATGTGTTAAAATAAAATAGAATTCAACCCAGTCTTAAAAATCATTTATAGAAAGAAATGGCTATTATCTTATCTACTAAAGTTATAAAACTATTTTTTAAACTAATATTTTTACTGTGAGTCAGAATTTTTTAAAATTAAATCTTCAACACAACATCCTAAATTATCAATATGCTTCAAAACTGGAAGTCTATAATTTTAGATGCTTACATTTGTCCTAAAAACAGTTCTGTTTCAATAAATGCCTAACTAGAAGCAAAAAAAAGAAACAGAGTTAAAATAAACTATTTAATATTTTGCCATTTTATTGGGCTAAGAAAAGAAAAAAAAACAGCCATTGAATTGTAAATGTGAATACCCACAAAACTTTTTAGGATCGAATTCTTAACCTCATTACAATATGAATTTCATTATTGATAATGAAAATTCACATTTTGAGGAGAAAATTTCAAATTACTCTTTTTATATTTAAAAATAAAAACGGCTTAACAAAAAATATTGTAAATTCATTTGAAATATTTGAAAGGCTTCTTTTTCTTAATGTTACAATAAGAATATTCTATTTTAAGATATATTATGTTAAAATAAATGTCAATAAAGTAGTTTATTCTTCGTTTTTTTAAACCATTAGAACTAAAACATACTTTTACTATTATAGGTGTTTATATTTATGTTATTTAAATATTATCAACACATTTTAATAAAAATATCGATGCAACATTTTATTTATTTATTAAAATTGTGTGGAAATGAATATCAATGTGTGATTTTTAAATCAAACGAATACAAATCTCAATAATTTAATTTTAAAATTGTGTGAATATGAATCTTGGTCTTTGATTTTAAAGGGTTAATATAAATCTTTGATGGCGTTAATATAAATCTAGATGTTGATTCTAAGTTTGCACGAATACAAATCTCGATGTTTGATTTCAAAATTGTGTTAATACGAATTCCAATAAATAATTTTCAAGTTACGAATTATAAGTGGTTTTGAAATTGTCTGAATATAAAACTTAATACCTGATATAAAATCGTAAAAATACGAAACACGATGTGCGATCTTAAACCTTGTAAATACGAATCGTGGATTTTAAATCATGTGAATATAATTTTAAATTACGCTATCGCAGAAAGAGTGCAGCTGCATAAAGTACAGAAAAATATTTTCATATCAACCTTTGCTATATTAACCTCCACATTAGATAAGGGAATTTTGACCATTTTTTCTTTCTTTTTTTAGTACTAATACTAAAATATTTTCAATTATTGTAACAAAGGTTCCGCAAATGGTAGTCACACTATGAGTCATTTATATTATACATATCTGGATCCTGCATATTAAAATTTGTATTGATTCAATAAATAAAAAATACACAAGAAATTTTCAATCATAACAATTAATTTATATTAAAATGCTACAAATCTGCTAAATAATGACATTAATTCAAATGCTGAAATATGAAATTTTTATATACTGACTATCAAAGGAGAAACTTCTACTTCTATTTCACAGGCACGACTAAAATGAAATTTAGATATTAAATGCTTATTTACATGTTAAGTGGAGTTGTAAAGTAATAAAGAAGCATAGTTAAAGTCTTTTGCTCTATTTTATCCCATTTGCCTACTTATGGAACAATTGAATATTTTTGAATTCTTTATTCAAAATATAAACCAATCCTTAAAAAAGATGTCTGTAAAATGTTAATTTGGTTGATTACTTTTAATTTGGTGCTTATATTATTTTATCTTTTGTTTTAAATAAACCAAAAAAAAAACCTGGTTTGGGTTTTTCCCACTTCAAATTCAGCATTATTGACATTCAAAGCCCATATTCAATCCACTTAACATTCTGGTTACAGTTTTATTCATCACTGTTACTGTTTTTTAAGTGCTAGTGATAATATAGTAACAAATTTCATTAGAAGAAATTAATTTTAAATAAGTGCAAATTTGTCATAAATTAAATTCCAAAAATTTTTTACTTCGTGACGAAAGGATTAAATTTCAATATTATCCACAATTTCCTCTTTTTTATAAAAAGCTTTTACATCACACCACTTTTAGGTAGTGGGGCACAAAAACTACAAAATACAGTCAGAGGCCAAAGTAATGGTAATAAGAAGTCTGTAATTAATCTTTTACTCCTGTGCAATTAATAAAAATAATTAATGCTAATAAATTTAAATGATCCTATTAAATTACAAGAGCAAATTATGATACATTTATATAGGCATACAACAAAAAAGATACTTAAATTTACATTCATCTTAAAAGTTACGATTAAAAACGTTCACTATTATTCAGAAAATAAAATTTTTTGCTAATACAGGATCAGATTAATGTGAGGACTGTTGCTAGAATTTTGAAATTAATTTTTGATTTATCTTATTTACTAGCGTAATCTCTCTCCCCCCCCCTCTTTTTTAGCTTATTTACAAAAATGATTACATTTTGCTGGAAACTCAAAATACATTTCATAAATAGATCTTTCATAATGAAACTGGAATCGTCACATTTTCTTTCATATTTCAGACAGTTTAGGATCTTACATAAGAGGCTTTGAGAAGCACTTTTGGCTTTGTACATCCTTGTTTTATACATTTTGATTTTTTCAGGGGTAATTGTGACACAAATTGAAAATTTAATGTGCAAACAATCAATATAAAATTATAACATGTTTCATATTTAACATAATTGTTTGAATTAGCATTTATGATGAAATTACTAGCTAATGATACATTCTTAGAAAATAATTTGTCAAAAAACTTACTTCTCACAAGAATCGTGGTATTGGATTTTAAAATTGTATGTATCTGAATCGCAATATTAAATTTTATAGTATAACGTGAATATGGTATATTTATATTGGTTATAAAAATCTCAAAAATACAAATTGCTATAGTGAATTTTTATATCACGTAAATACAAATCACGAAGCATAATTTACAACATGACATTATTACGAAGCATTATTTGAAATTATAAAGCCGTGATTACTAATAATAATATGGATTTTAAAAACATGTGAATACAAAAGCAACATTTAATTTTAAACTCCCGTGATTATGAATTGTGATATAGGATTTAAAGTCGTGTGAATATGAATAGCGATATTGGATTTTTAAATCATGTGGAAATGTAGGAATTCATACCTGCCAACATTGGAGAAATAAAATAACGGAGATTTTACTAGTGACACTTTTTGGGCTAAGAGTAAAGTTTTGATACGTATCATGTAAGTAAAAAAAAAATTCAGAATTTGAAATAATACAAGCACTTAAATTTAGCAAAGTAAAAAATATGCATATAAATCTTTAATCAAAAGAAAAAATTTTTAAACCACTATTTATAAATACTTAAATTCATTCAACATACTGCAGTACTGGCAATAGCACCTTTTGTTCAGGGATAAGAGATGTATTTTTGCCATTAGCAAATATTTTATTACCAAAATACGTTTAAAAAAATTTCTTCAACAAATACGGAGAAATTTGAGAATATATGGGTAAACAGGAGATAGTCTTAAAATACAGGAGTCTTTGTTAAAAAACAGGAGACTTAGTAGGCATGAGGTTTTTAAATTATGCAAATAAGAACCGCAACATTTAACTTTTCAACCAGGTAAATACAAATATCGACGTTTGATATTAAAATTGCAATATTGGCAGATTCCAGCGATTCAAAATGGCGTGAATCAGCAAAACCAAAAGAATCGAATTGGCGAAAGAATCACATATATGCAAACATTTCGTTAATGGGATTCAGCATAAGTTTTAGAATTTTATTGGATAATAAGTTTTTGATTCATGGACGTCGTCAAACCAATGATCTTGAGATACGCCCAATTCTGCAATATTCTCAGAAAAAATCAAACGCTCTGCTTCCAGTTTTTAGATTTGGAAGAATGATACGAAAAAATCAGCAATTCCAGGCTACACCCGGAATACAATCAACCGTTTTTTTATTATGTTTAGTACAAGTATTTGTTTCTTCTACTTTTAGAAAAAGCAACAATATGATTATATAAAATTTAAATTTAACATTAACTTTTATTGATAATTTTATAATACCAAATCTCAGCAAATTTTACTGCATGTACGTTATATTAAGCATAATTTTTTCATTATTAATTTAAATAAATTTTTGATTTTACGAAGATAGTACAATAGATTAAGTCAGCAAATTCTACTACTGGGGGTATAACTATTATAAATATTGAATTAATTCTTAGAAAATGAATGTCCTGAAAGAAAAAATAATATAAGTAAGCAAATTTTGAAATAATTCAGAATAAAAAAACAACCTTTTGTGTTATTATTTATGAATTTTTTTAAACAAATTAGTTGATAAATTATTACTCTTCATACTTGTTATAACAAAAAATTAACTTATGATATCAAAAGGAAAAACATTACTTTTATGTGTAGATCTGATTTAAAAATAGAATTTACCATGAATGCTAACCATTTTTTTAAACTAGAAAACAAACTAAAAATAGATATATAGGATTTAAAGAAATTGTTATGTTACTAGTGCAGTAGATATTCAATAAAGATACAAATACTCATTTGTGAAGCTTTAGAATGATATTAACACTCAAATCAAATAAGGCACTCAAAAGTTTTGAAGAAAAAAAAAAATACAGGCAAAGCAATATTTAAAAAAAATATTTAATGGTGGCACTATTACAGTAGCAATTATTCAACTCTTAGAGGTAATAATTTTACAAATGACCTGAAAATTCTTTATTTTGCGCATCTTCAATAAGCAAAGAATTTGACAAAGTTTCTTATTGTTTACAACACAATGCTATTATTATTATGGTTAGGTAATTTTACTTTTATCTTAAAAAAAAGGCAAAGGCTAATAATTATTCCTTAAAGAATTTAATTATAAACGATACATTATGATGAGTGAAATATATTATGTTTTAGCCAATATTATGAAAAAGTTTTTTAGTGTATTAATGACAATTCACTACTTGACAAGTCCAAACCGCTCCAAACGCTGCTTCTTCTTATCTTGCTCACCGCCAAGAGACTTATCAGTGGAGCTTACAGTTTGAACTGCACCACCCGTAAATTTCATCTTTCGTTTTAAAAGCTTTTCTTGATTTTCAAGCTGTTTCATTACAGTAGAGACATTTTCACCAAACCTCTCAGCTCGTTTTCTTAAAACATCTAAATTACCACCTTTAGCAGATGCAACAGCTGGAGCAGTAACTGATCCAACCTTTTCACCTGGTCCAGTAACTTTCACAGCACTTGTATCTGAACTAGTTTTGCTGTCAATGTTAAACCTTTTGGCTCTCAACTGCAGTCGCTCCGAAGCAGTTAAAATTTTAGTAGCCTTAGCAACAACCTCAGATTTCGGTGCTTCAATCAAAGGATGATCTTTTTTTGAAGTTGGTTGTGGTTCAGGAGGTTCAATTGTTGGGTAATTGTCTCTTTTTAAGACTATTTTTGAAGGTTTAGGAGACTCAACTGTTGGCGAAGGTGTTTGAGCTACAACTCTCTTCTTCAAAGGTTTAGATACGTTGCTTTCTGCAACCTTTTGTAAATCTTTTTCAGGAGATGAGAAAGAAAATTCTTCGGTACCAATAACTGTTTCTGGAATAGCACTTTGCTCCGGGTCATCATTTAACAGAGCTTCTTCCAAACTTTCATCATCTAACGTTCCATCTAGACTTCCATCTTTTTCACTTAAATATGCCTCTTGCAACCTTTCAATCAATTCTGCTTTATTCCCGGAAGTAGGCAAACCCATTGATTTCAGTCTTTTTTTGAGCTCAGGAACTTTCATATTATCAATGTCTATTATAGGAGAACCATTTTTTGAAATTACCTGCGCGGTGGCTGATGGTGCTTCACTGGAAGACATAACTTGCTATAAAAATCACTCAGCAATAAAAAAATATATAAATCAAGTAATTGTTAAACAGTGTGTGAAAATCAACAATTTTATTTTTACGATTGATATCAACTATAATCCATAAAATTACGATTTATGTTGCAAGACCGTTCTTTCGCACAAAATTATTTATTTTCATCATACATGTTGCCATTACTTTGAAGCTCAGGAAAATTATTTATGAATAAAGCCTTAATAGTTTTTTTTTTAAAAAATTAGATTGACAGTAATTGAATATTTTAATACAGTTTGATTATTCTTCAAAAGTAAAGACATTTTTACTGTACATTTTATAATAAATTCTTCAGTTCGTTCACTTAAAATGGCTAATGAAACCTGAAATTTAATAACCTTATTGATACCTTATTTTAACAAAAATAGGACGCCAGAAACGCAAGCCCTAATAGTTTTCAATTTTAAAGTTGATGAAGTTTATTTTTAAAATGTTATTAATATGAATTATCACGAACGGCAATAATTCAAAACTGATTTTATATTTATTTTGAACTGAAATGTCTTTATGTTCATCTTTTACAATGAAATATAATTTTAAGATTCAGAATGTTACTTTTAAATAATGATTCTGAAAGAATTATAAAAATTTTGAAATTGGTATAGTGTGCGAAGTTGCATGAAAATTAGTTGCCCTTAAAATTGAATTTATTAAAAATATATATATTTGATGTAAGTTGATGATTTCTATTAAAAGTCAAACAATAAAAGTGTTAATATTTGTAGTAGTTATTAATATTACTACAAATTTAACTGGAAAAAACTGAAGAAATTATAAAGAGAGTGAATCATTCTTTCTGATGTGACCAAACCATGTTTTATTCACCTACAAATAACCAGAAACTTTTTCGCCAAAGAAGTATATATCATTTGGCAGCTCTAATGTGACGTAAATAAAGTATCTACCTACCTATCCAAAGAAATTACTACCAATTTACAATTTTTTTTTACTAAGTTTTTCTTAGACAGTTTTTTTTCTAGACTTTATTATACTTGAGTTTTTATTGCTTTACTTGTTTATTAGCAAAATTAAAAGTTGTGCTTAAAGCTATGCATCTTTATTAATTTAAAATGTTTAACACAGGAAATTACTTTGTCTGATTTCATTACAATGTATGCCACTACTTTAATTTATTAAATATTATTGCTTTGGAGTCAACTTCAGTGATTTATGTCTTGTATAGTCACATCTAGTTTGGATTTCTTATAAGGCACTGATAAAGACATTAAATAAGTCCCTGAAACAAAATTAATAAATAACTATAGAACCTCCCAATAATCAGTGAATTACTTTTTCTCAGTAGATTTAAGTGCTATTTATGTAAAGCCTCAATGAATTTAATTTAAAAAAAGAATAGTGCATGTTTTAATATTGCTGCAGCATATTAACAATCAAAGTATTTTGTTAGATTCAGTTATATAAATTAAGATAATATATAACCAGTGTGAGGGAGAGCTTGCAAAGCTTTACATACAGTCTTGACACTTAAGAGCAGCTCTACTGCTCAATTTTTGAAAACTATTCATATTGCAAATTCTTTCTCTAAAAAAGATTTTTTTTTAAATTCTAGTTATTCGTTAATATGTCTGGAGTGATTGCAGTTCATGTTGGTGCTGGTTATCATGGCAGTAGTTTAAGGACTGCCTATAAAGATGCATGCAAAAAAGCTTGCATTGCAGCGATCGAGAAACTGAAAACAGGAATGAATGCAGTAGAAGCTGTAGCCGAAGCGGTATGTGTGCTTGAAAATTGCCCATTAACTAATGCTGGGATTGGATCAAATCTCACATTTAATGGAGTGGTTGAATGTGATGCAGGTATCATGGATGGTAAAAATCTTAATTTTGGTTCAGTGGGTGCATTGAAGAACATCAAGAACCCGGTTAAAGTTGCACAAAAAATTCTAGAAGAACAAGCGTGTGGTTTACTACCCGGGGGAAGGATTCCACCTTGCACACTCGTTGGTAGTGGTGCCACAGATTGGGCCTTAGAAAAAGGTTTCAAATTTTTTGATAATCAGTTCCTCTCTACAAAAGCATCAGAAACTGCTTTTTCAAAGAATTTATCTTTGGTGCAAAACACTTTGAGTACTGTTCAGGAAAATAGCAATCCCATGTTGGAAAATGGTATTGATGATAATGATTTGTTTGATACAGTTGGAGCTGTCTGTGTGGATTGTTTTGGAAATGTAGCGAGTGCCGTATCTAGTGGAGGATTGCTGTTGAAATATTCTGGAAGAATAGGACAAGCTGCCGTATTTGGATCTGGTTGTTGGGCTGAACAATCTATTGAAGATGAAAAGCCAAGTATAGCAATCTGTGTGACGGGAATTGGGGAGTACTTGATCAAAACTATGTTTGCTCGAGAGTGCCACCACACTTTGTATAATGACCCATACAGTGTTAGTGCCGTTCCTGATTTTTTTAAGAATAAATTTATAAATAACTCCTGCCTGAAGAATGTAGATTTAAAATTAGCTGGAGTTTTGATTTTGAAATGTTTTTCACAAGAAGACTTCTGTGAACTCTCGTGGGCTCATAATACTAAAACTATGATTTTAGGATACATGAGTACTGATTCTAAAAAACCAGTTACTATCTTTTCTTCACAACCAGAAAGTGCTACAATTGGTGAGAGTGTAATGTTTGCTGAAAAATGCATCAAGTTAAAACATACATCTTGATTAAATCATTATACAGTACAGAACCCGTTATCCGGAAATCAGAAAACCGAAAAACCGGAACGAAATTCGATAAATTTTTCCACCATTTAAAAAAATTAATTTTTTTTTCATTATAAGATTTTTGGATTTTTCTTTCTTTTTTTAAAGATGTTTACCTTACCATCATTTTGGAAATAATCATTAGTGTATTACTTCATCGTTTTTTCTTTTTAAGATTATTGCCAAATATTNATAGTTCGAAAGCCTACTTTAACAATAGAAAAAACGGCTTTTTGTAGCGATTCAGAAAACCGGAAAAATCAGTTATCCGGAATAGCAATGGTCCCGATCGTTCCGGATAGTCAGTTCCCTACTATATTTTATATTGAAATATATTTTTTAAATAATAATTTATAATTTTAGATCCAAATAAAAATTTGCTAAAATCATATTATTGTAAAATTATTATATATGGATTTTTTTTTCTCACAAAATATTTTTGCTTTTAGTGTCAAGAAACATTAAAATATTTGGTTACATCTTTATGGTTTGATTTGGAAGAAATATCAGTAAGATTTATTTTTGCTCCTTCATATTCATTTTAAATTTGAAATATCCAAATTGAATTGAGCTTACTTAAATTAAAATGCTCACACATTTTAACATGAAAAAAAGTTTATTAAGCATGAACAATAATTTTGTAAAGAATGATATAAAAGAAAAATTAACATTCCCTATTTATAAAATCTTTGATCCTATCAGAAGGAAAATCCAACTTAATCGTTATTTTATTTGTTAGATGTATTTAAATATAAACTTTTTCTAAAAAATTCTTTTTTTTTCCTTCTTTTTGTTGCCACACTTGCATGTTTTGACTAGCATTTTGCCTTTTTTTAGTCACTTTCTTCGTCTTCATCAGTTTCATCTGTATCTTTCGCTTCTAGAAAAAATAAAATAGTAAATAATTTTTTTGAGGAAGTTGGTTAAATTTTTTTATATAACTTAGTAGTAACTATGTAAGTAGGTTTATCTAGATTTTCAAATAGGGCAGTTTTTGTTTTTTAATAAATGATGGGATGAACAAATGATTAAATCATCAGTGTTTCCTGATCAATAACTCCTCTTATTTTTCTAAAAAATCAAACCCCATGCTATAAAACTGTACCAAATGATTAATTAACTGATAGTTTATTACGGTAAAACTTTAATGTTGCACATGTAAGACCTTTAAGGTTTAATCTGCAAAAGTGCAAAACCCTAATTCTGTTGTTATTATTTTGAATTGTTAACACCAGGAAAAAATAATAACAGGAAAATTATTGTGTACTAATAAAAAAATTAGTCCCCAGCTACTAAAATTAGAAAAATAATTTAAGAGTGACAAATTCAGTAATTTCAACATGAGTCCATATTTACTGCAAAATTTTATGATACTCTTTCAAACAGTTCGTAACTCATGGTATTTAATATCTGTTAGTGAGATAGCCGTTTATTTTCAGAACAAGGTTTTTGTTTGGGGCGGGAGTAATTCAAACAATGACTAAACTGCTTTTTTTTTACGCTAGTAGATTTTTATTTTTTTCAAACGTTAAGTTTCTTTTGAAATAATAACTTAATTTATTGGAATTTGCTGTTTTGTTGCTGTGAGATTAAATATTCTTTTTTATGACAAAATTAGCATTTTCTGAAAGCTAACCATAATATTTTAAGGTAAAATTAATCATCATCGCCAACCGCAGAAGTACTAAATATAACAAATAACAATTGAAAAGCTGCCAATTGCACTTTTTTTAAATCAGAAAACCACCCCATGTGCATTTTATTATTTTTTTTAATAAGCATGGAGTTATGGGGGAGAGTGGGGTCAATTGTAACATTTTTTACTTAACTATTTTTAACTAACAAAAAATCCAATATATTATTAGTATTAATTGACAGAGAAGTAAAGTAGACTATCCTCTACGAGAAAAAAAAACCTTATTTTAAATGTTATTATACTAACTAGTTATTAACAATTTTTGACTGTCGTGCACTTGTTACAATTGTCCCCACTTACGGGGTCAATTGTAACAGTTCATAAATTCAACTAAAACATAGTTAATTATACATATTATCATAGTTGTGATATATTTTTTTATTGATCAAAATAGTAGTGATATTTTAGGAGTAAAAATAATAATGAGCAGAGACCT